CCCACTCTCCCCCCCACTCCTCCACTCTCCCCCCCACTCTCCCCCCACTCTCCCTCTCCCCCCCCACTCTCTTCTCCCCCTCCCCCACTCTCCCTCCCCCTCCCCCACTCTCCTCTCCCCCTCCCCCACTCCCCTCTCCCCCCCACTCTCCTCTCCCCCCACTCTCCTCTCCCCCACTCTCCTCTCCCCCTCCCCCCCACTCTCCTCTCCCCCTCCCCCCCACTCTCCTCTCCCCCCCCACTCTCCTCTCCCCCTCCCCCCCACTCTCCTCTCCCCCCCACTCTCCTCTCCCCCCCACTCTCCTCTCCCCCTCCCCCCCACTCTCCTCTCCCCCTCCCCCCCACTCTCCTCTCCCCTCCCCCCCACTCTCCTCTCCCCCTCCCGCCCACTCTCCTCTCCCCCTCCCGCCCACTCTCCTCTCCCCCTCCCCCACTCCTCCCCTCTCCCCCTCCTCCCCCTCTCCTCTCTCCCTCCCCCCCTCTCCTCTCTCATACATTTGCATACCCTTAAAACATTTATTACCTGAAATGCATTTTGCACAGTAAAGTATTTTGCAAGTGCAACGTGGGTGGGGGGTGGGGGGGGGGCTTCTTTTTTTTTGGTGGGGCTTTTATTTTCGATTCTGCCATGACTTTTTTCTTTCATTCATTTTATTTATTTTTTTTAAAAAAAACTTCCCTTTTAATTTTTTAAATTTGTTGTGTTGTTGTGTAAAAAAAAATTTGAAAAGTTTCTGTCGTTATTAGACTCTCAGTCTCCTGACTCTCTCCCACCCCCCCCCCCCCCCCCCCCCCCCCCACACCTCCAGAGCAGGAATGTGAATAAATATACAATGTTTAACCATGCAAATGGCTTATATAAATGTTATGTAACCTGTGTTGTGATGTACAGAGTGTAGCCACTGGTGCACAGTGGTTTGCAATGATAAAACCTGTCTTACATCACTGTCGCTACTTAATCGGGAAGAGAAGTAAAGTAGGGAAAGTTTATTAACATTTTAACAACCTGCAAATCACACAGTAGTGTTTGATCTTTATCTTGTGGGAGGGAGATGATTGGCGATTTTGTTGCCAGCTCCTGAGATTAATCTCAATTGCAGGTTTTTTTTATGGGCATGTCATAAATTGTTTCCCCAATTTGAGATTCTGCAGTGGGACGAGCGCCTTGAGAGGGGGACCGGGGTCTGATTCTCTCCCTTGTGACAATGACTTTTCCCCATCAAAAAAAACCACAAGCCTGTTATTTTATCTGTGAGCAGTCACCCCAGTCCGGAAAGTTTGTCGAAGCATCTTTCACAAACCTGCGAGAAAACAGGTCCTTGTTCTCCATCTATTTATCTCCCAAATTCTCCTGTCTTTCTTCTCTCTCCTTACTTAACGGGAATTGAATGCAGTTGGTAGTGTTAAGTTAGTGCTGGTACAAGAAGACAGCGATGCAAACTGTTTTGGCTTAAGATAATTAAATTTCTCTGTGTGTATGTGTGTGTGCGCAAAGATTCAATAAGTTTAAAAATGTTCCTGTTGTAGGTCCCCTGGATGAAGATAACCAGCCGCATGGGTTCTGTAAAGTAACCTATTCCTCTAGTGACAGATTTGAAGGGCATTTTGTACACGCGGAGAAGAATGGTCGCGGGAAGTTCTATTTTTTTGATGGCAGGTAAAAAAAAAATCACAAGTCCATCAATTTGAAGCTTACCGCTTTGTCTAGACACCTTTTACATCACCAGAGAGGTTTGTATTGTTCTTTATACATCTAACCTAGATACGCCTCACTGTGTTTAGAAGGTGTCTTGTTTTTGTCTTGCACTACATTGTTTACAGTATATACGATCTGCTTCCCTGGGCTACGTGCAGTTTCTTCTCTTCCCCATCAATCCTCCTCCCACCCTTTACTATTGAACTTGGTGTAAATAACCTTTTACGCCAAAGATAAAGCTGTACTTCGACTGTAGTTCACATTGAGTGCAGTGCTTTGCTGTTTCATTTGAGCCTAACTCATCTGAAGATGCTTGCTACAGTGTATCCCGTCTGCTCTCTCTCTTTTAGTACATTGTCTGATCTGGAAATACTGTAATGTCATTGCATTATAATAAACATCCCTCATCACCATGTGGTTTAATGACAATATAAATGTCAGTATAATAGCAATAGTAACAATAATATTCCTTGCATTTTGATATAGCGCCATATTACATCGTTGAGACATCTCAAAGCGCTTCACAGAATATATTGTAAAGTAGATGACTATATTTGTGGGCAAAAAGTCTCTATAAATGTCTTGGTTGCTTTAAGAGACTAACTTGCTTGGATTTCCCCCTGAGAGGTGAGGATGCTGCCTCGGGCCTCTTCAATTTAACTCTAAGCTTTTTTAAAAAAAATCTCTCCTGAGCTCTGATTTGCCTTATATTTCTTCTCAGGGGGGGTGGGGGGGGGGGGGGGGGGAGAGAACAATATCACAGGCCCTGAACCTCCTCCAGGACCACCTCACTCGAGTTGCACTTTTCATGTGTGAGCTTTGGGTGGAGTTTATGCTCTTTGATCCTGTGGCTCTCTCCATCCATGTGAGCATATATTTCGCCCACAAATATACAGTCAATTCACTTTACAGTATATTCTGTGAAGCGCTTTGGGACGTCCTCCCGACGTGAAAAGCGCTATATCAAATGCAAGGATTATTATTATTATTGTTATTATTATTATTATTATTATATTGCAAAAGTAGTTTCTGGATAGTGATTAGCTAACCTGGAGTCACTGGATCAGGCCCAGTGCTTCAGCTACTGCTGGTTGAGATCAGGTACCTTAACACAGACCCATCGTTCAAAGCTGTAACCTGGTGCTCCTTTAGGCAGTGCCTTTGTCCATGAAGTCAACAGGGGTGTGCACAAATGTGCTTATAAAAATAGACTTTACTCAAGAAGCCACACAAGGGCTGGCGTTGGCTAAAGAGTATAAAGCCTTGTTTGAATTTTCAATCTGGCTCTGGCTTCCATCAGCTTTCATGCTGGTTCTAATTTTCTAGCCACCTGCACTCTCTGTTAGACAACTACTAAAAATATTATGGTCTAAATTCCCACTATGACATTTAAATTGGACTTAATAGGATAATATTGGACAAAATATTACCCTATTTTATACTGTCCTTTATTCCCCTCACCCACCCTGCACTGTCTTTGTGATTCTTTTTGAGTGTCAATATTATATCAATTCTATTTTAATGTGATGATCATCCTTAATACCACCAAATCCTTCAATATGTTCAAAAGACGCGTAGTACATGTGGTATGGAGCTAAACAGAGGAGCTGAATTTAAATGGAAATGATTTGTTTTGAGAAGTTCTTATTTATTGCTGTTTGAAAATCAAGAAAAACACAGCACAATGCTCCTGGGACTTTCTATACAGAATGAGGGCATAAACACAAGCATAAATAATATTTTGAAGCCGTAATTGTAAATTGTGGAGTCACAGCACACTCCAGAAAATTAGTAGTCTTTAACTCTCGGTCTCATATTCCCAGTCATACTAATGAGGTGATCTGCATTTAATTAAGCAGTTGGTTATGAATAAATGTGTTGTTTAATAATCAAAATTGTTGTGCATTTTTACCTCATTTAATGATGGTATTTTAAGTGTTGCAAAAAACAAAACAACAACAAATTGCATTTATATAGAACCTTTCATGTCGGGAGGATGTCCCAGGGTGCTGCAATACAATCAAGTATTACTGCACTACTTGTGCAGTTCGTGTCAAAGAACCAATATATTCCTTTGTTTCAGGAATTTTGATTGGATTGCTATTGTTGTTAGTTGATTGGCAGATCGATTTCTGGAGGTAATAATCCCTCCTAAAAAAAAAGTAATAATAATAATTTAGTCACTCAAACCACGACTGTTTGTGGAATGTTGCTTTGCACAATTGGCTGCTACGTTTTGCCCACAAAATACTCAGTCAGTCCACTTCACAATATATTCTGTGAAGCGCTTTGAGACGTCTCAACGATGTGATAAAGTGTTATATCAAATGCAAGTATTATTATCGTTAATCGCATTACTGGGACCCAAAATATGTGTCTACTTTTATTCTTGATTTGGCCCTTATACTAGGTTATTTGTTTGATAGATAGATGGCTGGAAAAAAGACACCGTTGATTATTATTTCGCAAGAGCAGAACAGTACTGTTGTTTGGTGGAGAAGCTCATAGATGTTTCTGATCTATTCAAAAGATCTTATGCAATAGTAGATGTTTTGTGGTGTTGTTTCTACCCAGTGTGGCATTTTGTGTCTTACTGGACAGCTGGCACAAAAAGAGATGTAAATAAAACGGGACAGTGCCATTCACTGTTTGTTACTGTGATGCCAGCTCTGTTGAAGAGGAGCACTTGTTTGTTCTCCAGAAAAGTGCCCTAATTCATTGGAGAATCAAATACTTAAAAGTAGCAGTTTTATTGCCAATGCAGCTTAAAAAAGAAAAGTTTATTCTTATCCAGTTTTGCCCTATTTCATTAACTCTTTGTGAAACTTTTATTTATCTTTGTTTCCTAGAGCTAATCATTTGTGAGGTTTCTTCATTTTTTNAAAGAAATTATTTAATAATGAATAATCCTTGCATTTGATATAGCGCTTTTCACGTCTTCTAGACATCTCAAGGCGCTTCACAGAACATGCTGTAAAGTGAGTTGACTGTATATATGTGGGCGAAACGCGGCAGCCAATTGCGCACAGCAGTGTCCCACAAACAGACATGGATTGAAAATGACCAATTTATTATTGTTTTGTTTTTTGGAGGGATTATTATTAGGCATGTGGGATAAGGAAACTTGCCCAAGGTTTAGCCTGCCTGGAATTGAACCCAGGTGTCTCTCTTGCAAGGCGAGTGCTCTAACCACTGAGCTACAGGACTCCACCTTTCTGTATTTCTGAGTTGCAAAAAGGGAATCCAGCCTGTAACCAGAAGTGCTTTGCAATGACCCACTGGATTTCTGATTTCTGCTTCCGGCTTGTTAGAGCAGAATACCCATGAGTTGCTATCAGTTACCAGCACCGTTCCTTAGTTGTGACTTGGTGTTGATGAGAAATCTCACCAAACGCCACAACTTATACCCCAATATTGAGTAAATATTAGGTGTGATGGTTTCAATAGCTAGCCAGATACCTCACCCAGGTATACGGTGTCCCATACAGTCAATCCAATTTACAGTATATTCTGTGAAGCACTTTGAGACGTCTCAAAGATGTGATAAGACACTATATCAAATGCAAGGATTATTATTTTTATATGATGTTTAGCTCTATTTATAAGATCTTGGTCATCTCCTCAATCTCTGTAGTTATTGTCTCTCCCTGCCCCCCTTCCCCAGCAAATTTATAGAAAGTACAGCTCAGAAACAGGACATTCAGCCCATCCAGTTACACAGTGACTATCCTGGATCCAGCTATCTTGGATGTAATTATCTTGCACTGAATCTCTTTATCCAAATTATGAATGTACATCAAACACAAGAGAGGTCCCAGCATGGACCTCTGAGCTCTTTGAGGCATTCCACTTGATACCTACCCATTAAAGCACTGCAGGATACAAAGTCAATTAAGTTCCTGGCTTAGCTTACCACATTGCAGTTAATGATAACTGCAATTGACTGAGCTATCCAGTGGCTATTTTATTCTGGACCATATAGAGTTACCAGTTAGTGCTTATCTTACAAAACAAGATTCCATGGTGTCAAATTTCATTCACCTTCTCTCTCAACGTAAAATTTACTGATCACCTCCATTCTTTCCAAAATTGGATCCATCAGTGTTAAACCTAGACTAAAATTACTGCGTTAATCAGACTATTTCTATTTGTTTCTCCTTGATTCCCTCCCCAGTTGCTGCTCTTCAGCATGAACCTAGACTGTAAGTGCAGTAGAGTTTTTACTTTTGAGGTAGGGGTCATCACTTTCAAGCCTGATCCTCTCCCTTAATATCCATGTGAGCGCACTTTCCAGCTAGGGTTGCTCAACAGCAATGTAAAATAAGAACCCTAGCTGTTTTCTTCCTTCATTCTAGACCAACGTCACTGTAGCATCTCAACTGCAGTCTCAGCAGAGATCAAATTACTCAGCTCAGACCTACACGATTGAGCCTGGGATCTTCCCTGTCTGCACGGCTGAGTTCCATGATTGGCTTGCAGTAACCATTGAGCGAGTTGTTAGAGAACCAGGCTTTATCTGTTTAAAGTTTCATAAGACGAAAAATACTGTGTGTGTGTGTATGTGTTTAAGAAATTAATCTTGGTCTAAACTGCTCAGAGGCATATGTTTGTTGTACATGGCTTTGTAAAAGGGAAAAAGCACTTTGGGAACACTAGAGCAAGCACTGCCAGTCAGGTTCCTTATTCCACTCACTCCAGAAACAAAAGCAACACCTATAGCCTTGCCCTATAATGCTGGTAAATTAGATTAGTACCATACTTTCACTGTAACTACATCAAATCCATCATTTGACCTGATTGTCAGAATCTAGAGGATTTAATTGTCTAGAACAAATTTGTGGCGTATCTTGTACCTAATTAGTTTTCTTCTTTTCTTTAGCATACTTGAAGGGAACTTTGTTGACGATGCTTTACAAGGCCAGGCTGTTTACTCCTACGAGGACAAAAGTACCCTCCATGGAACCTACATCGATGGCGAACTGAACGGCCCAGCCCAGGAATACAATTCTGAGGGTCAACTGACCTTCCGGGGTCAGTACAGGGACAATATTCGGTGTGGCGTTTGCTGGATCTATTTTTTGGTAAGCTTTGGTTAACATTCTGGTTTTCCCTGACCCACTTCTTCCTGAAAACATTTAAATCTCACTGCAGTGCTGATAGCATTTAGAACCTGACCTAATTGTCTATGGCTCATGTGTGAGCTTTGACAATAAGTGCTGCCACTGCTATTCAACTTGGGGAGAGGGCGTGAGGTCTATCACAAGCAAATGTGATGCTATTCCCATTTAACATTCTCACACACACAAACCTCGAGGAATTGCAGGATCATGATTGTAAGTTCTAGCTTGATTTGTTTTCCAGTTTTCAAATGAGGCCAATTGAATCGGCCCCAGTACTGCTCAATCTTAGATTAGCTGACTCAGCACAGATCAGGATTCAAAGCTGGAGGATTCCTGACATTTGACTCAGCTAGTCACTAAATAAATTGGCTGGGTCATCAGGCAAGCCCTCGATAACAAAGTTTTTTTTAACATTAAAGGAGCCTTACTTTCTCACCCTACATTTTAAAGTTTGTCACAGCACATTATAATTTTGTATCTTTTCCAATGAGAGTGATTCGTCCAAGTTAGCAAAACTTTGCTTCAATCATAATTACCTGAGGAGTAGAAGGAGAGACACAACCATGAGAAACGCAGGATATTTACTGCCTTGATGGCTCGTTTGATGAAGCCATTAACTGTGTAACAATGAGCCATTCAGATGATCAAGGTCCCAGATTTGCTCCCGATGTGTGTTAGTTGACCCCTGGCCTTCTGTAATCCTTTTTGTTGGGTAATTATATACTGTATAATTAGTGTATTTCACGGCTCATTTTAATTTTGGTATTTTCGTGCTCTGATCTATTTTTGGTTGCAAAAAAGTTCAAATTTTAACATAGCTTCAATAAAGAATGCAGAAGAATCACGATCACATGAGTTGCACTAAAATATAGGGCATGAAGCAGGAATCAGGCACTCTGCGCAAAACAAACATGGGTGCTGAAAAATAGTAGTACTACACACACCCGGAGTGTGAAAATATTCTTGGGGGCAATTGAGCTGAAGACTGTTTGTGTGTGTGTGTGTGTCTCTGTGTTTGGGTGTGTATATGTGTGTGTGTGTGAGCATTGGATCCAATTCCCACTTACTCAACTCATTGACTGCTACATTTGCTTAACTTCACGTTCCATTACCCATTGCGGAGAGCAGTGCCCCTCTCCAGTCTCAACATCCCATGGAGAAAAGTTGATGAGCTGGTAGATAGATTTTATTTTTTTGGGTGGTGGTGGGGGCTGAGACCCTCTAGCCCTAGCCACCAACAACCTATGGTTCTACAATAATTAAGGATGTTTGTAATTCACTCTGTACGTGTCATGTACAGAGGAGATGCTAGATTTCCTTGAGTCCAAAATCGAGGGGATCCGTTCAGCTGCCTCCGCTCTCCCAACCGCCACTCCCTCGCCTCTCCCACCGACACTCTGACTCCTACCCAACCCTCCCTCCACATTTTCAAACCTGACTCCCTCCTCTCTCATCCCCATCATATCCAGCATGAAACACACCACCTGATCCCTTGACCCCATCCCCACCCCTCTCCTTACCTCTCAGCTCCACCTCCTCGCCTGTCTATCTCCAACACCATCAATCTCTCCCTTTCATCTGGCACCATTCTCCTCCCCCTAAAAACAGCTATAATTACCACCGTCCTGAAAAAACCTTCCCTGAACCCATCCCTGCTTTCTAACTACCAGCCCATCTCCAACCTCTCTTTCCAAGGTCCATGAAAGAGTCGTTGCTTCCCAGCTTCACTCACTCCTCTCCTACCACTCCCTTCACGAGCCCCTCCAGTTGGGTTTCTGTGCTGCTCATAGCACAAAAACTGCTCTGGTCAAGGTGACAAACGACATCTTGTCCATCTGTGACCAGGGCTCCCTCTGCCTCCTTGACCGCTCTGCTGCCTTCGATACCATGAACCATTCCATCCTGCTCCACCGCCTCTCCTCTCACCTCAACCTTCAAGGTTCTATCCTTGAATGGTTCAGGTCTTATCTCTCACATCGTCTCCAATTTGTCTCCACCAACGGTTTCTCTTCCAGCAACTGCACAGTCTCGTGTGGTGTTCCTCAGGGCTCTGTCCTCGGTCCCCTCCTCTTTAACCTCTACATGCTCCCCCTTGGTGACATCATTCATAGACATGGGGTCAACTTCCACATGTACACGGATGACATCCAACTCTATCTCTCTGCCTGCATCCTCGATTTCAGGACAACTGATGTCCTGACAGACTGTCCGTCAGACATCAAGTTCTGGATTAGAGCCAACTTTCTACAGCTGAATGTCAGCAAGACGGAGGCCCTCCTGATTGGCTCTCGCCAGCGCCTCCGCACGTCAGGCACTGGCAGCATCAGCCTCCACGGTTGCACACTCTACCTCACCAAGCCAGTCAGGAACCTGGGCATCTTGTTTCACCCTCAACTGTCCTTTCTCCCCCATATCCATGCCATGACCCGCTCTGCCTTCCCCGACCTCTGCAACATTGCCCGACTCCGCCACTGTCTCAACCCTCAGGCTACCGAAACCCTCATACATGCATTCGTCACCTCGAGGCTCGACTACGGCAACTCCATCCTTATCGGTCTCCCCAACTCTTCCCTCCACAAGCTGCGGATCATCCAGAACTCTGCAGCTCATGTCCTCACCCGCACCGGGCTCTGTGACCTCATTATCCCCACCCTCCACCGGCTCCCCATCCCTCAAAATTCTCGTCCTCACTTTCAAGGTCCTCCATGGTTTTGCCCACTCCTACATCTCTGACCTGCTGACCCCCTATCAACCTGTCTGAGGAGGCTCATGCTTACTCCATGTTTCCTGCCTGACCCACCCTAGCATCGGCAGCTGGGCTTTCAGCCTATTTGCCCCCACCCTCTGGAAATCCATCCCACAATCCCTTCGCCTTACTCCCTCTCTTGCCTCCTTCAAGGCACGACTCAAGACCCTCCTTTTCGACCGTGCCTTTGGCTGCCCTCTCTGGCCTCCCTCACCCCAACCCAGCCCCCCATGCTCGGGTCTTGATCCCTGGCTGTTCAGCGCCTTGGGATGAAACTCACAGAATCCATACGTATTTATGCAGCTCTTACAATTCATCCTACTTATTGTTTTGATCTTGAATTTTCATCCTGTTTTCTCTCAGTGAACATGAGGATCTGCTCCCTAATCCCCACTAGACTTGCCTTCCCCTTCCCTCTGTTCCCATATTTCTCCCCCCACCCTATGAATTGTCTAGTTACCATGTCTCTTCCTTGACCTTTCTCCTGACTCCCCTGGTATGAGCCTGGGTACCCAGCTGGCTGGGTGTTAACAGCAACTCCACACTGTCTAGGAACTTCTTATTTGAAATAATCATAGGAAGAGGAAATATTTCACGGGCAATCCTTTATCACACCACTAATCCAGAAGGTGTTCTTTTTGGATGGGAATAAAACATGTTAGAATAGTGTGTGTTTTAATTCAATGACATTTTGTCTTGTGTGACAGGACAGAGGCTGCTTGGTAGGACAAGTGAATGAAGATGGGGACATGACTGGTGATAAAATAGCTTACGTCTATCCTGATAGCAGCACAGCGATGCTCGGCAAATTTGTTGATGGAGAGATGATAGAAGGGCGTATCACAACTCTTAAAAATTGTGTGGATGGAAGACCCCAGTTTGAGCAGGTAGCAGCTGGTAAGAATTGTTTGTTTACCATTACGTCATTCTCTCATGTGATATAGTAAAACTTGGACGTACTTATGATCTTGTGAACATTTTCACAATTGTGCTATATATTTTTTTCCACCTTTTTCATGGAGTCCTGTAGCTTAGTGGTTAGAGCACTTGCCTTGTAAGTGAGAAGACCTGGATTCGATTCCTGGCAGGGTGAAACGTTGGCAAGTTCCCTTACTCCACATGCCTCTGTTTACCTAGCAGTAAGTAGGAACCCGGTTGTTAGTCGATTGGCGGATCACTTTTCCGGGGGTAATAATTCCTTCAAGAACAACAAATAATAATTGGGTCACGACTATTTGTGGGACACTTCTTTGCGCAATTGGCTGCCACGTTTCACCCACAAAACATAGTCAATTAACTTTACAGTATATTATGTGAAGCATTTTAAGATGTCTAGAAGACATGATAAGGCACTATATCAAATGCAAGAATTATTATTTGGGGAGCAATGGGAGGTGATGAGGAAGAGACAGGATAAATTTTGTTTTGCAAATTTTACAGAAAACCGACTACAAAGTTTTAAAAACTGATTTCACCAATTTGCTAAATTCTGGACTCTCTGAATTGCTTCCTAAACCGATTAAATCAAGATCCACGTGGACTTCCTGCTCAAATATTTGTAAACGGAATTTGTGTTGCTAGTTTTGATTTGTGAGTCTCAAACTGACAAAAGTCCTTAAAAATACTGGCTATTGAATCAACACCTTGCGTTTATATAGGTGTTTTCACACAGGATAGCGTCTCAGAGCAATACACAGGAGCAGGGTTAGACACCACCATTACCCTCTTGTGTTTTCTTGCCAGCTTTTTTCAGACTTTCCCACTTGTGATATACAATTTGCAAATCTCTTCATTTGATTTTCTCAAGTCAGGAGTCCTAATCAGCAAATAGAGTCCGAATGGTTTCAAATATATCCCCATCGTCCCCTAAACTGAAGTTGATTTGTTGACATTCCTGTTTGTTAAAACCTCTGTTTTAACTGCTTAAACACGTGGTTGTTCAGAATAGGCTTGAATTGAGAATTTAAAAGATGGTTGTCCAGCAAACCTTATCAGTTGGTATAGTAACTTCTGTTTTCTATAATTCCAGGTCCAGTTTACAGTTTGGACAAATCCACCTCCTACTGCATTTCTACATCCAGCCTTCGTCCTGATTCATATGAAGAGGAGAGGTTGTCCAGTTTCTTCCCAATCGTGAATGGAAATATTTGAGAATTCTAATTTCTTTTTCATTCCTTTTTAATTAGCATAATTTGATGGCAATCCCCTTAGAATAATCCGGGGAAATTGTTTCCAGTGGGAAAATGTAACTGAAAGTGGTGGAGCTCTTGTTACAATGAATTCTGCTTCTGCTCAGCCCAGAGGGCCTTTTTCAAGTCTATTAGCAATCTACCTCCAGCTCAATCTGTCCATTGCCTCTAGTATGCTGCTAGACTACCACTTCCAATGGTAGAGCAATTAGGAGCGTGAAACAGGATTTATACAGCCTGCTATAAAGACTTTGGTTATATATATATATATATATATATATTATCTTAGTCCATGGATATTAGAATGTGAACCTAGATGTAAGCTTACCACAAGAGAGATGATTAAACCCCTTTGACCCATTTGTTCTCATCCTTCCAGACTACCCACTGTACCATCCTCCCTTTACAGTATCAAGCTGTTTCTTAAATGCATCTAGTGACTGTCCTCAGTCTCTTGCAATCTCCAAATTTAGAAAGCTGAAGAAATCAATAGATTCTGCATATACTATGGCAGTGGTTTATTTCATATTAAGTCAATGTTTGATTCAAATGACATTTTAACTTTTAAGTTCATACACTGCTTTTCTGTGCTTTAGTATTACAAAACATTTTCGAGGCTTAAATTTTTTGTTTGTTAATTTAAATTCATGACTCATTGTTCTCAATAATTAGCAAACTTAATAGTCTCATCCAAAATTGCCTCGTCTGTCTTCATATTCCAGTAACGCATGTGTGGACAGCTTAGATTTCAAATGGTCCAGTAAAATGGATATAACATTCATAATGTGGTTTAACTAAATATAAATTATGTATATATAGATATTCAAGTTTGAATATTCGAACTCAATATTCGATATTCGAATTCAAGATCCTCATCCTCGCCTACAAGGCCATTCACGGCCTTGCTCCCTCCTACCTCTCTGACCTACTGTCCCCCTACTTACCTGCCCGTACCCTCCGTTCCTCTGACTCCAGTCTGCTCCACATCCCCCGCCCCAACCGCCATACCATCGGTGGTCGGGCCTTCAGCCTCTCAGCCCCTAGGCTCTGGAACTCTATCCCCCAGTGCCTTCGCCTTGCTTCCTCCCTCTCCTCCTTCAAGGCCGGTCTCAAGACCTTTCTCTTTGACCGTGCTTTCAGCTCCCCTCTCGACTCTCTACCCCCACCTTGCTCCCTCCCTTCCCTCCCCTCACCCTGACCATTTCCCCCCTGCTCGGGTCCTGACCCAACTGTACAGCGCCTTGGGACGTCCTCCCGAGGATGGAGCAAGGCCGTGAATGGCCTTGTAGGCGAGGATGAGGCTCTATAAATGGAATCTGTTGTTGTATATATAAATGTATACACTCACTCGCAAAGCCTTCCAGTTCCAGAAAATGGTTCTTTGGTGTTGAACAAAGTCAAGTTTAGGTGTCACCCTGGCTCAGTTGGCAGAACTCTCGCCTTTGAGTCAAAGGTTTTGGGTTTCAAGCCCCACATTGGGACTTTGCATTTACATAGTCTAACTGACACTGCAGTTCAGTACTTGAGGGTGAGCTGCAGTTTTGGAGGTGCTGTCCTACAGATGAGATGTTAAACCGAAATCCTGCCTGCCTGTTCGGATTGACATTAAAGATCCCATAGCACTTCTTGAACAAAGAAGGGAGTTTCTCCCAGTCTCCTGGCCAACAATCACACAATTAAAATTAGTCATTCTCTTCATAGCTGTGTAAGGGCATTGCTGTGCGCAAATTGGCTTGTTGCGTTTCCCTACAATATAGTCATTCTGCTTTACAATAACTCATGTGAAGCACTTTGAGATGTCGTCCTCATGTGAAAAGCACAATATCAAATGCAAAAATGATTATGGTAAGTCTCGGTACACTTTGAACTGGTTGTAGGGCAGTTTCTAAAGTGATGTGTAATAACCAGTCTTCCTTCTCTCTTCCAAACTAGAGTGTACGTTGCTGATTCTTTCATTCCTAATGCTGGAGAAGGCTTGTTTGCTAAGGTAGCAGCAGAGTGTGATACAGTCATGGCTTTCTATAATGGAGTACGCATTACACATGAGGAGGTGAGCAGTGCATCTACAAAGAAAATGTGGTGACTGTATATGCATTGCATTTCTTCTTAATGGGTTTGTCTTATTTGTTTGGCAGGTGGATTCTAGAGCATGGTCTCTCAATGGGAACACTTTATCATTGGATGATGATACTGTATTAGATGTCCCTGTGCCTTACAACAGTACCAAACATTACTGTGCATCCTTGGGGCACAAAGCAAATCACTCCTTCACTCCAAACTGCATGTATGCCCCGTAAGTAGATTTATTTGTGTTATGGGCTATTCATAAAAGGGGAAGTTTGGCATTCAGTAACAGTTTTAGCTGGTTAAATTCTAGCAATACAACAACAAACACTCTGGATTCTCCAAGCCTGGCCTCTTGCCAAATTGTGCTTAATGATTTCTGGAGTTAGGCGAGTAGAATGTGTTCCACGGAGGAGAGACTGAGCATTCTCATTGCAGTCAAAAGGAAATTTTTCACATATATGTGGTCCTCAATCTTGTTTGAATACGTTTTAGCTTGGCAATCGGTTTCTTAGTTGATATCAAAGTTTCTTCAATAGAGTCATTTATGTAAAAGAAAAAAAGTTCTACCTAAGTAAATGCCATATTGGTGATAGATAATAATAATAATCCTTGCATTTGATATTGCGCCTTATCGCATCTTCGAGACTTCTCAAAATGCTTTACAGAATATTCGGTAAAGTGGATTGACTGTATTTTATGGGCAAAACGCGGCAGCCAATTGCGCACAGCAGTGCCCCATAAACAGTCGTGAAATTATTTTTTTTTGGAGGGTTTATCACCCCTGGAAAAGCAATCCGACGATTGACTTAACAACCGGAGTCCTACTTACTGCTAAGTAAATAGAGGCTTGTGGAGTAAGGAAACTTTCCCAATGTTTCACCCTGCCAGGAATCGAACCCTGTTCCTCTTGCTTGTGAAGCGTGTGCTCCAACCACTACACTACAGGATTCTACAGTGATATAAGCTGTCGCAGGCTTTCTTAGAAATCGGTGGTAATACTGAAATGCTAACATCACAATACACTGTAGAAGTTATTTTATGTTGGATGGAATTGGGCTCAAAGAGAAATGCATCCTCATATTTAGACTGGTTATGTAGCATCACTTTTTTAAAAAAAAAATAACATTTTTGGTCTCATAACCACTGTGAAAGGATACCACAACAACAGCTTGTATTTATGTAGTGCCGCTCATGCAGGGTAGCGTCCAAGAGCGCTTGATACAAGATGTTTAATATCTTTCTGCCCAGGTTTATTCACCCTCGGTTTGGAGCGATTAAATGTATCCAGACCATTCGGGCTGTGGAGAGGGATGAAGAGCTGACTGTGGCTTATGGATACGATCACTGTTCTGGAGGCAAGAGTGGACCCGAAGCTCCTGACTGGTACAAGCGTGCACTGGAGGCTTTCCAAACCATTCAGTAGAAATTAAATTTATGCAGCTTTCTCTTCTAGCAGGAAGCAGAAAGAGCTATGCAGTAAAGCAACATGAAACTGCCAGACAGGGACTGTTCAAATTTTCTGTTCTATGAAGTCTCATTCAATTTGCATTTAAATTATTCGAGGTTTTATTTATTGGAAAATACAGTATAGAAGCCACTAAAGCAAGCAGTTTCCTAAATAGCAGCAAATCCTGTATTATCTAAAAAAAATCATACATTGTAGCCTGTTCTACAAGTCTTATAAGCAGGGAGTTTCTTCCTTTTAGTCAGACATTTTCCTAATTCACATTCAGTATTGTGGTCTATCCTACTCGGGCTTTTAGCTAAATCCTGTGCTTATTTCTACGCTTGGTGTTCAATGGGCTTATAGTCTTGAGATCTTAATCCATATCCAGCTCCTATCATATTGTAGCTGTACACATTTTAGTCATGTTGTGACTTGATCACCAAATCAATAGCATAGTACACTTTGGAGTTCAAGTACAGCATCTTAACTCCTGATAATTGGAATGCCACAGTTGGTAAGGAGTGATTCTCATCGTCCCATTTACCACTGTTTAGTTCACCACACAGAACCAGCAATTGGAAGGGATGCTAAGTTATTTAAATAAAGTATCCTTGTGCTGTGTCACATTATTCACTTTCAGGATCATTTTATCTCACTCCCGAGTGTAGACTGCAATCTTATCAGCTGCAAGTATTTGTTTTCCTAAATAGAAGTAGCACAAACTCAACTTTGGTTTTGGTATAACTCCATTTCTTGGAAGCTTGACTAGTTAACTGCTGCATTTTTTTTGTAATGGTAGATAAAGCCATATTGGAATTGTGTGTTTTTTACTGATGAAGCTGAAAAACTTAACTCGTGAGAATACGAGCGGTGAAGCTATGCCAAATGTTTACAGATTGACTCCAGGGTCTTTTGACGCATGTTTCCTTTTTGTTTAATAACCAAAAGCATATGCATTTTTTTCTAAGAGTGTTTGGGTAAATGGGAAATGGTTTTTGGTGGGGTTGGGAGAAGCATTTATAATCTTGTTAAATTCTGGTTTTGATGAGCTGAATTGTTTGTTCCCTGCATCGCTCACTACCTGCAGTCGATGTAGGAGAAGAAATGTGTTTTTTCTAATGGACTTGAAAACAAAAGTGGTAAATTGTGAATTTCAACCACTTAGGTCATGAGGGAGGAAGAAATTATGGGTCAATTTTTTTTAAACAGAAAAAATCCTCCTATCTAACATAGGTCAATGTTTCAGTAGTTCTGATTGCATTGTGTGATTTCATATATAAAATGCCTGTTCACTTTAACTCATTGCCTCATTGTCCATTGTAATGCTTCAGATCAATATGGATTATTTGGTAATAAAGCAGGGAAGGGTTATGGTATTTCAGAGACAAATTAAATGTATTTTTTTGATTTTCCTCTTCCTACTGCATTTGTAGTACTGTATACATCACTAATGGCCTTTGTGGACTTGTCAGCATACTAACATTAATAGCTGGTGCAGAAGTTCTGCCTTACTGAATGGACTCATAGTACAGCAACATATTGTCAGTGGCAATAAATGTTCAAAGCTAAACCTGACTGGACTGTTTATTTCCCATTTTCCCTGACTTTGTTAATGTTGTATTCCTGAGATACAAATTTAGTTTAGCAATTATGTATTACAAATATTTTGGAGTTCCCTCAGTGGCTAAATGGATAAGTACACTGCATGGTATGGTACAGGACTCCGAAGTTAACTGATCTTAGCCATGACAGCAGAGTTGGGTGCTTATAATTGCCCTCCATGTTCATGGGCCAGGGAAGAGAACATTGACATGGATTCACACTCCTCTTCACTCTCCACTGACTCTTTTGGTGTGTGTACCTGTGTGGTGTGTGTGCCTATGGTTGAATACACTGCCAATAATCATTGTGTGGCCTCCTCCATGAAGCGTGGCAAAGTAGTGGGGTACTAGTGGCTCTTGAGAATGAAAAGAGGATCACATCAGAGGATGTAGAAGGGGCCAGATATGTGCAGATCATTGGATCAAGCATCACCCTGGGCACACTGTGACTTCCAATTTCTGCTTCATCTCCTGGGTAGAGGTGCAAAGTAGAGGTCAAGTGACCTCAGAGGGACATGTCTGCTCGTGTACCTCAGGAGCTGAATACAGAGCAGCAATGGAAGAGTCTGTGATCTGTGCCACTGCTGGGCTGCAACAAATGTGTGGTGTTGGCCTACTCCAATGGGGAATGGAGAAATTAATTTGGTGCCCAAGCAGTTTTCTGCCAGTGTGGACTCATGTTGGCAGCTAGAGGGGTGAGAAGATGCTCTGCCATTTCAGCGAGCACTTTGTGTGGAAGAGGGGAAGGTGGGGGAGACTTAGTCAAAGGAGCCCAGTAGCGTAGTGGTTAGTGTGTTTGTCTCACAAGTGAGAGGGTCAAGGTTGTATTCCCGGGCCGCATGAAATCTTAGGCAAGTTTCCTTACTCCACGTGCCTCTGTTTACCTTGCAGTATGTAGTAACGGTTGTTAGTCGATTGGTAGATCACTTTCCAGGATATTAATCCCCCTACCCCACCCCAGAAGAATATGGTCACTCAACAACTGTTTGTGGGACACTGCTGTGTGCAACTGGCTGCCCTGTTATGCCCATAAAATACACAGTCAATCCACTTTACAATCTACTCTGAAGTGCTTTGAGACATCTGAATGACTTTAAGGGGTGCCAAATCAAATGCAAGGATGATGTAAAGATGTACCATCTTTGCTGTAAAGATGGAGATTTTCATAATGTGTTTTGCACTGGAGGTGTTGTTTATATGATTTTGTGGAAAAAATGAAGCTCCAGGTTGACAAAACTAAAAGTGGGCAAACCCTATCCAAATGTGTGAAATCTCCAAATTGAAAGTAAATAAATTTACAATAATAATAATCCTATAATCCTTGCATTTGATATAGCGCTTTTCACGTCGGGAGGACGTCCCAAAGCGCTTCACAGAACACACTGTAAAGTGAATTGACTGTATATTTGTGGGCGAACAATAACACAATGGGAGCGTGGATTCTTTCCGCTTGGCTCCTATTAACCCTGCAAACCAAAGCTTAATACTCTTAAGCATCGCGATGGTTTTCCGCATGTGTCAAACACCGGCTGATCAAAAAAACATCAACACAAGGTCAGCTGTTGTACAGGGTGAGCAAAAAGTCTTATTTGTCAGCTACCGTATTATCTAAAAAAAACTAATTTCTTTAAGGCTTATTACCATTGTAATGGTTCACAACTGTGTCACCCTGTATAATGCAAAGTCAGGTATGAGGAAGGGGGTGCATTAAACAAATAGCAAAACAAAATTAGAAACAATTTTCTACAGGGAACTATATTATATATAAAGGAGTAATTGCAGAGTATGGGGAAAACTAGGTAAATGGGACCGAATGGATAGCTGTTTCAAAGAGCCAGCACATACTCAATAGACTGAATGGGTCTTCTTCTGTGCTGTAAATTCCTATTGCTTCTATGGTTCTAATCAATGAGTACTCCATAAGTTCTTTAACTTTGGCTGCAATCCTGATCCAAGAAGTGAAAGCTCCTTTTGTTGCCTTTAAAGTTGCACAGAAACTACACTATTGATTGTTCTTCATCAAAAGCATGCAGCTTCATTCCACGCTTTGAAAACCATTTACCCCCAGCACTTGATCCATATCTTCATGTTCACTATTCAGAAAGAAAATAATTCCTGAAAATCGAGCACTCTTAATTCCTGAAAAAAGGTTCCAATGATACAGATTAAGCAATTCAAAAGTGTGTTAGTGGGGGGGTTCATATGGGTCTACATTTACTGTATCTTCTTAGCACTACCGAGAGTGCAAAATTTCACAAATTGTTGAATTCAGTTTTACTTTTGAAACATTTTTGTAGTTCTCAAAATTAAGAGTGTTTTTATAAAATTGACAAATTCTGCTGGAGGCTTCAAAATGTTAAGAAAACAGTATGTAAAACAGAAAATGCTGGAAATTCATAGGTCTACAAGTGAATTTGGACCCAGGTGGTATTTCTCCCTGATAGACAAAATGCATTGACTGTGCATTTGTCAGCAAACATGGCAGCCTATTTGTGCACATCAATATCCCACAATTCATGAAGTGAATGGCCAAGTTTATTTGGGAGATTGTTGGCCAGAACATCGGGAGAATCTCCCTTCCCTTTTTGAATAGTGTCATGGCAACTTTAACACCCACCTGAACAGGTAGGTTAGGGCATCAGTTTAATATTTCATCTGATATCCTGAGAGTTGAGCACACCACCCGGACTGTATTAGAGTGTATTAGAGATGTGAGTTGAAAGTCCTGACTTTGGGGTTTGAACCCACAACCATCTTACTCAAAGGTAAGAGTGCAACCAACTGAACCAGGCTGACACCTGGAATCACATCACAGGCAAAATATGTGTTTCTTTTGCACTAGCCTCAATAGCTTGTTTACACTCACTGACCAGGCTTACATGTAAATAATGATGGGGATCCCAGAAGGTGCCCATTCCAAAAAAGGAGTCAAATGCATTCAGGAGAGGAAGGATAGAGAGAAAAAATGACAAGGAAATTTTGTTTAACTTTGTATATACAGAACTGGCATCAAACTGGTCTTGTTTTAGAAAAAGCAGTCTGAAACATTGGTGGAATGGTTGAGAAGAGTTGGTGTGTTTTCAGTACAATGTAAGATAACTGGGAAAAAAAACTAGGAAATTACAGCATCCATTTATTTATTACTTGGCTATATAGTACCAGTGTTGCCTTCCTTTAGAATCTGTGTTCATGGATTTGCAAGACAAACACAGGGAGGCCATAGGAACATTACGGCAAAGGGACCAATCAGGTAGGAGGAAGCTTGATTTTCCATTTTTCTCACACAGATCTTTATCCATCTGATATGGGCAATAATATCACAGCCATCAACCTGTAAAGCCACAGAAATTTATAACCAGGAATAGATGTGCATATAAGTCAATTAAGTGTGTCAATTTAATTCAATGGTAGCCCTTTCACCTCTGAATCAGAAGATTGTAGGTTTCAAGCTTCACGTCGGGATTTGGAATCACACAGTCTAAGCTGACACTTCAATGCAGTGCTGCAGCGATGTTGCATTGTGCTTGGTGCCATCCTTCGGATGAGTTGTTAAAGCGAGGTCCCATTTGCCTTTTAAATGGATGTTAAAGGTCCCATGGCACTATTCGAAAAGAGAATGCTGTTTTTCCCAATGTCCTGGCTGTTTGTGGGACATTGCTGTGCGTAATTGGCTGCGTGCTTTGCTCACAAAATACATAGTAAATCCACTTTACAGTATATCCTGTGAAGCTCTTTGAGACGACTGAATGACATAAGGCGCCATATCAAAGACAAGTATTATTATTATACAGTGTACTCTAATAACAAATGGCAATAAATGCCTACTTTAACGTATTATCATATTATAACTATATTTTCTTGTTGGTATTTTCAATTTGAGGCTGAATAGAATTAAACAACTCTGTAAATGTTATAAGATATCTAAACCATGTTTACAATTTGAAAACGGAATAAAACAGTGACAAGTAAAATCCTTTGGTTTATACTCGTAATGTAGTACTGAATTACTGCCACTAGATTGCATCAAAAAGCTTTGATTGCGATGTGAGGTTTGATTGATGCCATCTTGCGGACAAAATTAACTACTGCAAGAGTACCATTTTCTGCTGAAATATGAATTATTGTATGAGATTATAAAATCATTTGATTTAAAAACATTAAAATTTTCAGCTATTAAGCTTACAAAAACTCAGTCACTACAGTGGATTGCAATTATCTATGAAGCACTTTGAGATGTTTTGAATTTGTGGGCTCTATATCAAACACAATAATTACTATTTGTTGCTTTTATTGTACAGCCTTATCTTATCAGAAGCAATTTACTGATTTTTTTATAGCACCACCAAGATGGACAATGGGAATTTGCAGAGGTTGTCTATTGAAGGAAAGCTGGCAGCAAAAGTGAAGACTGCAATCTAGTTATTTTTTAAAAAATGAATAAACCGACTGGATAGAGGACATTAGTCCTACCTGCCTGCATGCCTATCCAGCCTGGTCTGCCTGCCTGGCTAACTCAGTCAAGCCTCGAGGAAATTGTTGAGCCTCTCTGGTTGTTAACGTAGTAGTAGCCCTTGTTTAGCTTCCTTTACACAGTGCAGGTTGATCGCCAATGACCATAAAAGACAGTGACAGGGTTTATCCCCCATCACAGAAATATAACAATAATAATCCTTGCATTTGATATAGCGCATATCACATCCATGAGACGTCACACTTCACAGAATATACTGTAAAGTGAATTGACTCTATATTTTGTGAGTGAAACATGGGAGCCAATTGCACATGGCAAAATATATTATACCTGCAAGTTGCTGCTGCATTTGATTCAAAGTGAGCAAGAAATGCTTTGAACTAAGTGTAATTCTTGTAATAAATTGTAAGTCCTACAGATTTTTACAACTGAGTCAGAGGAAGGAAGCCAAAAGGAAATGCCACCAAGATTGATAGGATGTACTCAAATACATTTATAATAATACTGTGAATAAAAATAATCCTTGCATTTGATATAGCATCTATAACACTGAAAATCTTTAAGCATTTCACAGGGAATTGCTAAAAATATAGTGATTATATTTGCAGGCAAAATGCAGGAGCCAAGTTGTGCATTTCAATGTCCTACAAACAGCCATGAGGTAAACGATCAATTTATAAAATAGCAATCCACACATTTAGTATATTGCCTATAATGGTGGATCACTCCAAATCACTTTACGGTAATTAATGTTGAATGCAGTGACTGTATTTGTGAAGATATGTGGCAGCCAATTTGCACAGAGTCGTGTCCCACAAACATCCAGGAGGTGAATAATTAAATTATTTTGATGAATCGTTGGCCAGGTTACTGAGAGAAACTCGTTTCTCTTTTCAAATAGATCTTTAACATCCACCTAAACAAGCAGACAGAAACTTGGCTTAATATCTCATCCAAAGGATAACACTTCTAATAATAATAATAATCCTTGAATTTGATATAGCGTTTTTCACGTCTTCTAAACGTCTCAAAATGCTTCACAAAATATACTGTAAAGTGAATTGACTGCATTTTTGTGGGCGAAACACGGCAGCCAATTGCGCACAGTAGTATCCCACAAACAGTCGTGGATTGAAGTGACCAAATTATTATTGTTCTTTTTTTCTTGAGGGATTATTATCAGGCGTGTGGAGTAAGGAAACTTGCACAAAGTTTCGCCCTGCCGGGAATCAAACCCGGGTCTCTCGCTTGTGAGGCGAGTGCTCTAACCACTGAGCTACAGGACTTTTGACTATTCAGCATCCCTCCAACGTTCGCTGAAATGTCAGCCTGGACTCTGAGCAGAAATTTTGACATAGAACTTGAACCACAGCTTTTCACCTAGAAGCAAGATTGCTAGCAACTGAGACAAGTGTTTATACTAACGCAAGGAACACAACAATAAAAGTTCTGAATTAGTGGTATCCACAGATGACAATGTTGCCATTAATGGTAATATTGTCACTATTTGTAGATCCCTCTAATGCAAGGATGAGCCCAGATGAAATAATAATAATAGTAATCAAACTTGCATTTGATATAGCGCCTTATTGTGTCGTTGGGAGTCTCAAAACACTTCACAGAATATGTTGTAAAGTGGATTGACAGTGTATTTTGTGAGTGAATCGCGGCAGGCAATTGCATACAGCAATGTTCCGCAAACAGTCGTGGATTGAATGACCAATTTTTTTTAAAATGGAGCTCTGTGTGTTTATGGAGTTATACTGTATATAAAGAATACACCTGTAACGTTTGGTGGAAAAGTGGCATTATTGGTGACTAACGATACAACACAATGTACAAGAGAAGTTCGTTGACATTGGTGGAGAACAAATTTTGTACCCTGAAGTGCTGGAGAGGGTTCAGAGGAGAGCAGTAAGTATGATTTGGGGATATTGAGATTTACGCTTGATGGGCTAACTGTGGAACTTATTTTCATTGAGAAAAAGATTAAAGAACATAATAAGAATTTTTAAATGATGAGACAAAGATGTGTTTTGCATTTGTACAAATAGTGTCTTAATCGGCGGCAATCTATGATTATACTATATTCACATCGTGAAAACGATGTGCAGTATGGGGGAAGTGTTGCATTCACAGTGGCAAGGCTGTGTTGAGGGAATTTTGCCTCCCAATAGAATCAAGGATGTGTAGAACAAACTCTCAACTACCTTAGACAAAAGTTGTATTTGATCTGGGATACATAGGTGTCAGCCTTGCTCAGCAGCAGCACTCTCGCTTCTGGGTTAGAAGGTTGTGGGTTTAATCCTCACATCGCGACTTGAACTCAAATAATCTAAGTTGATACTCCAATTTAGGGTTGAGGGCGTGTGTTGCATTGTTGAAGATGTCCTTCGCTTGAGACATTAAACTGAGTTCACATCTGCCTGTTCAGATGGACGTTAAAGATCCCATGGCACTATTTAAAAAAGAGCAGGGAGTTTCTCCTGGTGTCCTGGCCAACAATCCCCTAAATAAAATTGGTCCCTCACTCCTTGGCTGTGTGCGAATTGACTGCTGCGTTTTCCAAATAAATGTGCCACTTCACACTAAATCTCGTGTAGCACTTTGGGATATCCTCCCGACATGGAAGCTACTATACTAACTTCAAGGATTATTATAATAACAATAATCCTTGCATTTGATATAGCGCCTTATCACGTCGTCGACACGTCTCAAAGTGCTCCACAGAATATACTGTAAAGTGAATTGACCGTATATTTTGTGGGCGAAACGTTTAATTCATTTTTAATTTTAACGGGTTGCCAAGATATTTTTTCTTAACTTTTTTTTAAAAAAATCAGTTCTGGGTCGTGAATTAACCACAACAGGTGGGACTCGAGGGAAACCTGTGCATTTCAAAGATCACTGCTGCAGGCGGGATAGCACATTGCTCCTTTTGAAGCTGATCAGGTGAATCGAGATGCGGCAAAGTTTCACCCACAGACAGACAGACAAAGCGCAGTAACATGAGGCAGCTTGTGAAGTATTGCAACAAGTGTAATGGTTAACAGAAACCTGTTGGAGGTGGAGCAGTAGTGGAGCAGGAGGTGGGGGTGGGGGGTTTACAGCTGCTCAGCCTGTTGCACCTGTTGGTGCAGGAAGCTGGAGGCTCTGCTCTCCTCCTCTCCAGTGTTTCGTGGCGAGTCCTTCGGCTGCTTTCGCTGCACGAACAGGCAAGGTGTGTGTGAGTTTTTATTCCCCTTTCCACTGTTGTCGTACCTGCTGTAAACATAAAACGATGCCCCCCCACCCACCAATGCTTTTAAGCGTGATCACCTGTTGCTGTGGGTGGAGGGGGAGGCGCTGAGACCTGCTGATGGTGGGGGGGGCAGTGGTTTGTTTGATGATGGCTGTGGTGTAGGTGTAGCTGAAGGAACAGACGCCCAGAGAGATATTGCAGTTCGCTTCGGGACAGGTTTCCCTTTATTGCAGGTGTGTGTGTGTGGGTGTGAGTGAGTGTATGTGTGTGTGAGTGAGTGTGTATCCTGCATCCAGAGGCTCATCTGGAATTGGTTGTGGCTGGAGGGAAGGGATGGTTTTTGGCCAGGCCTAGAAGAGAAACAAGTCCTGGTCTCATCCACGTTACCAACTTTCTTGGGCTGTCTATGCCTCTTGTGTTGCTGAAGCTGAAAGCTCAGCTCCTGCCTCTGTTTGACCCGCTCGTCCCCTTATCTCCTGCTTGTCCTCGTGCCCTCCATTCTACCATCGGTGGCCGCAGTTTCAGCCGTTACGCCCTGAAACTCTTCCAATATCCCTTTGCCTTGTCGCCTGCTTTCCCATCTTCAGGTCACTCCTGAAGACCTTCCCCTTTGACTATGCCAGCGGTCACCTCTGACCCCCACCGCCCCAGGCTTGGCATTGTGCTCTGCCACTATCAAGTGCTCTGGTACGCTACCCTGCGTGGGGAGGAATGCTATTTAAATGCAAGTTGCTGTTGCCGTTATTGCTGAAAGCTGATGTGGGTAATGTGTTCCTGCCCCAAGCTTCATTTCACGTCACTAAGCTTCACTGTGAATCCTGTGAAGCACTTTGAAACATCTATTTGGTGTGAAAAGGACTATACCAAATGTAAGTTTTCTTTATTGATACTTGTGAATTGATAATTTAAAAAATCACCCCCTTCAAGATCTGAATCAAGCCCTGACTCTTTGACCGTGCTTTCAACCATTTTTCCCTTCCTTCCCACCCTCCCCCAATCTAGCTCAGGTGTAAACCTTGCACTGTCCAGAACCTTGAGATGCCCTCCGAACATAAAAGGTGCAATATAAATATTTATGTACATTGTATCGTGAAGCACTTCGCCCATAAAATACACAGTCAATCCAGTTTACAATATATTCTGTGAAGCAGTTTGAGATGTCTCAACGATGTGATGAGGTGTTGTATCAAATGCAAGGATTATTATTATTTTAAATACTGTCCCCAATGTCAGGATTTTTAACACGAAAAGGACCACTGAAGGTGAGCAGAAGTACATGTTTACCCTCAGTTTGCAGGCTATTTACATTTAATAACTCCTTGGCAATATGTTGTCAGTAGGATTTGAATTTAATTAGTCCTTTGATTCAGAATTTTAGTAGACCAGCAATTGTACCGAAAAGTTACAATCTGTATTATAAGTACTTTATCAATGACTTTCTTTGAAAAAAAATCTTAATTTCCAAATGCTGGACATTTACATAGAACAATCCGGATTCAACCCATCAACCAGCAGTGTAAATATGGGTCCAGTAAAATCAATAAACATCTCTATGAATATAACAATATTCTATAAATGTAGGGGAAATTATATTCCATTCTATATGTATTCTCAGTACACTGCTTGATAAATGGACTCACTGCATAGCTTAGTTATAGTTTGCATAGTTTAGTTATTGCTACAAAAATCGATTGGACTGCATTTCAAACTTAATGGACTTCTTTTTTAGAATGCTTTGCAAGTGAATTTGTACAGCACCTTTCACATCGGGAGGACGTTTCAAGGCGCTGGAAATTCAGTGTTTTGGACACGAGCTGGGGGTCGGGATTGGGGATGGTGGAGGTCAGGGGGGAAACAGGATGATCGAAAGCACGGTCAAAGAGGAGGGTCTTGAGATGGTTCTTGAAGGTAGCAAGGGAAGGGGCGAGTTCAGGAACTGCGAGATGGAGTTCCAGAAGGTGGGGCAGATGGCAGAAGGCCCGGCCGCCAATAGTGGGGTGGGCAAAGAGGGCCTGCTGAGCGGAGGAAGTGGGCAGGATGGTAGGGGATTAGAAGGTCACAGAGGAAGGGGGAGCGAGGGCTTTGAAAGTGAGGACCAGGATCTTGAACTGTATCCTCTGTGTGATGGGAAGCCAGTGGAGTTGGGTGAGGATGGGGGTTATAGGGTCGCAGAGCCTCGTGGGGGAGAATACACGGGCTGAGGTTTGCATAGTCAAGCCTCGATGTTATGAATGTGCGGATGAGGGTTTCGGCAGCCTGAGGTGTTAGACAGTGGCGGAGTAGGGCCATGTTGAGGAGGTGGGGTAAGGCAAAGAGGATCATGGCACGGATTTGGGGTAGAAAGGATAGTTGAGGGTCAAACAAGACGCCAAGATTCCGGACTGGCTTAGTAAGGTGGAGTGTGCAACCATGGATGATGATGCTGTCAGCACCTGAGGTGTGGAGGCGCTGACGGGAGTCAATCAGGAGAGCTTCGGTCTTGTTGATGTTCAACTGAAGAAAGTTAGCTCTCATCGGGGACTTGATGTCTGACAGACATTCAGTCAGGCCAGCAGTGGTCCTGGAGTCAAAGGTGGAGGCAGAGAGGACCAGATGAGTGTCAACTGCATACATGTGGAAGTTGACCCCAAGTCTGCGGATGATGTCACCAAGATGGAGCATATAGATATTAAAGAGGAGGGGATCAAGGGAACACCACACAAGACGGTGCGGGGGCTAGAGTCGAAATCGTTTGTGGAGACGAAGTGGAGGTGGTGTGAGAGGTACGATCTGAAGCAATCAAGGACAGAGCCGTGAAGGTTGAGGTGAGAGGAGAGGTGGTGGATGAGAATAGAGTGGTCAACGGTGTCGAAAGCAGCAGAGAGGTCAGGGAGAATGAGGAGGCAGAGGGAGCCCTGGTCGCAGATGGACAGAATGCCATTTGTCACTTTGACCAAAGCTGTTTCTGTGCTGTGCACAGCACGGAATCCCGATTGGAGGGGTTCATGAAGGGATTGGCGGCAGAGGAAGGAGCTGAGAAGCAATGACTCATTCCAGGACCTTGGAGAGGAAAGGGAGGTTGGGGATGGGGTGATAGTTTCAGAGCAGGAATGGATCCAGGGAGGGTTTTTTAAGGATAGGAGTGATGACGGCCATTTTTAAAGGGGTGGAAACGGTACAGGTGGACAGAGAGACGTTTATGATGTCTGTGAATAGAGGGGCAAGGAGGTGGAGCTGGGAGGTAAGGAGAGCGGTAGGAATGGGGTCGAGGGTGCAGGTGGTCGGTTTCATGCGGCTTATAGTGGTGGTGAGAGAGGAGGGATGGATGGGTAGGAGCCAGGGGAAGATGGGTAGGGGGTAGTCGATGGAAGGGCAGAGGCAGCTGAGCGGATCCCCTCAACTTTGGATTCGAGGAAGTCCAGCATCGCCTCACAGTTAGCAGTTAGCAGAAATAGTCAGACACAAAGGAAAACCCAAACTAAATCATCATAATGATGGATAACTAACTCCCCTTTCAATATTAAGCAAAGTCTGTTGTGGAAAAGGCGAATTGGTTATTACTGTAAACTCTTGCTTTTCCAAATGGATATGTAATTTATTATGGTTTGATCTATCCCATTGCCTGTGTCTAGAACGTGGAGTAACTGAAAATGGGCTGTGTTTATTCACTGAAATATAGCCTACAGGAAAAGGAAGTAGCACCAAAGATATCATTTCAGTGGAAGAAAAGATTTGGGACTGCCCTTGTTCATTAATGTTTGCCTAATAGCATGGAGCAATATAGATACTAGCATGCATTCTACTCATTCAAGCTACTTTATGTAACTGCAACTATCAGCCCTGGGCACTTCAAAAGTTTGTATCACTCCTTACTTATCAGATATTGCATTTTTTGTTTTCCAATTTCACATCTGACAGATAAAATCATAGAAATTTACAACAGAGAAAGAAGCCATTAAGTCTGCACTGGCTTCCAGCACAGTGTGTTCATTTCAAGCCCACTGCACTGCCCTATCCTCTGTCTACTTCCCTCTAGAAACCCACAATGGACTTCTTCAGATAACAATTCATTTTTAAAGGACTTCATTTTAGAATTGTTTTGATCAAGTCCATCAGAATCGCAGGAAGCGTGCATGTGCGATGTGGTGAATATGCTCTGAGAGCCCTGATACTGGAGCAAGTATCAGGAGGACTGGATCACAAAAGGACTTCGGGTGTGACCTGAAGATGGGGAAGGAGGAGGCAAGACAGAGGGACTGGGGAAGAGAGTTCCGTAGTTTTGAGGTATCGTGGCTGAAAGCACAGCCGTGCAAGGTGGAGCAAAGGGGACGAGGAAGGCAGGAGACTGGAGTCAGCTGAGCAGGGGAGCTGTATGTAGGCTGGTAATATGACCATATGTTTACTGCTTTTTTTGCTTTCAACTTCCAGATATTAGATTGTGCCGGTGAATTGCTTTCCACATCTTCGTTCGATGGACCGTTACAGATATTTCATCTTTAATCAGCGAGGCATGTTTGTCCTGGGAATCCTGCAGATAGTTTGTGCCACAGTGTGCGTGGTCTCCGGCTTCGTGGATTCAACCTTTAGGAAGGATTCCATTCTCAGTAGGACCAGAGCACCAGTCTGGGCTGGCACGGTAATGATGATAATCCTTGCATTTGATATAGGGCCTTATCACGTCTTCGAGATGTCTCAAAGCGCTTCCCAGAATATACTGTAAAGTGAATTGACTGAATATTTTGTGGGCGAAACATGGCAGCCAACCGCGCACAGCAGTGTCCCACAAACAGTTGCTGACCACATTATTATTCAGAAGAACAGTGCTGCTACACCACAGAGAATCTACACCAGCGACTGATTAAAATGTTTGCTTTTCAGTTCATGGGTCTTCCTGGAGTGCTGGCCCTGTTTTCTTCACAGAAAAGGAACCCGGTTCTCGTAAGTCCATTTACCCTCAGCAGTATTTTGAAGCTGAACCTAAGTATTTCATTGACCCTCTATTGAAATGTGAAAGTGATTAAGAGTAATTTTACCTGATACAAATAGTTAGTAGCTTTTGTTATTCAGACTTCTGGGCTGTTTAATCAATATTGCTTGTGATCTGTGTGTAGGTGAATAGTATGATTGGATCAGGTGTGATTTCCTGGTTTACTACAACTATTGTGATTCTATATGCTGCTTTGACTTTGAACTATGGGGAGGATGATGATGAAGTATTTCAGCACAAACCGAGCTACATCATTCATGCGGTAAGCTTTTGCAATCAAGTGGAACTTGCATTCCAATTTAATTTGCTGCTTGTTTCAAATGCCAAAGGTAAATGGTATTAATACAGTGGTATTAATATTTGGATGAATCTGATCAAGATTTGGTACAGCGTCTCTCTTTAACGATGGGAACAGGTTACCGGGGAGCATGGTTGATGCCAGGACACTGGACAGTAGGGCGGGTATTGTGGAAGGATGAGATCAATTGGGCCAAAGGGTTTTCTTCATCAGAACTTCTCTCATGATCTTGCGATTTCATTAACAATATAAGGTTCATCCCGCAAACTATCTATTCCCCGATACACACAGACAGACAATTAATTTGGTGTTATTTTTTCTGAAATTTACCATATGAGAAAACATTGTTTTCTAGTTTAATGTTTAAAATTTTGGGGGAAAAAACAATAGTCATTGAGCCTTGCACCTCTAAACTCTTCATTGCTATAGAAACAATTTATTTAATCTTTGAAAGATTTGTAAACTTTCTGTTCCTGCAGTCTTGCCCTTTTCCTGCCAGAACCTGCCAAAGCTGTTCACATGTAAGCAGTCAGGCTGTTGTGAATAAAGTATCTCAGTCATCTTCATTGAAAGCCTGTATCTGGACCTTATTGCTGCTGTACATTTTGTTCCTTCCCCTCCTTTTTTCTTCTGCTCCTCTCCAGCCTGGTGACACCAAAGCTGATTGCAGAGCTTTTGGTTGAGATCAGGTAACCGATCATAGCGAGGAATTAACGTGGGTCTGAATGGTGCAGAATCACACCACGCAATGCGTTTTCCTACTAAGCCAGTGGGACTGTATCTTACCCTTTTTTTAGTTGACGTACATCACATGGACAGGTGGCACTCTAAACACTGCTGGTACCCTATAGCATCAAACCTATGAGCTTTAAAAACAAAATGTGTATGCACTGTTTGATTGTCTGGGCTTTATACAGTAATTAATCAGGCATAAAAATATAGAGTTCAGTCAGGAACAGTAAGATGCAGATTTGACCCACTCCCTGCTGCTCTACCAGGAAATATGGTAACCGGTCAATTCTTATTTCTTGAAAACCTGGTTGCTTCCATTCTTGGGTCTTGTGGCAGTGAGTCTTTGCTCTTTGTATAATCATTGACTGTGGAAATATAATAAAGGAAACCATTGTTTAACATCCAAATTGTACACACAACACTTCCATCATTAAATAAAAGAAGTTTCGTTTTGAGCAGAAATATAATTGCTGCTCTTTTTGTCTTACAGGAGTATATCCTCAGCAAGTTGGTTCAAGGAGCAAATATGGCTATTTTAATCTCTTCTGTTTTTGGCCTCATGATTGCAACAGTCATAGCTTACCTTGGATGCCGAAGTCTTCCCAATTGTGCTTGCTACGATAGTACGACTGGAATGGCAAGTAGAATCCTCTGTGTAGTATGACCTGAAACCTAGACACAGGACTGTAAATTGTACTTCTCTGCTGCTGTTTGAAGCTGATACAACCTGCAGATTGATGCATGGTTGATTGGGCAATTGCATAGATATGATCTGAGCTTTTCAGGTGTTGTGAATCTTTGTCAGAAACCTGGAAGAAAACGTTTTTTTAAGTTTTACAAGTCATATGGGTATTTAGTTAGTGTCTTTATTATAGGAGAAACAATTTAAAGCTACATGATGTACAAGTGTTTTCATTTTCCTCCCTCTTGCTCCTCTCCCAACATCACCCCCCCCACCCCCACACCACACACACCCTGCAGTGTAAGTGCTCCGAGAACTTATTCTACCTGAAAGGCGCAAAATAATAATGATATAATAATCCTTGCACTTGATGTAGCGCTTTTCACGTCTTCTAGACATCTCAAAGTGCTTCATAGAATATACTGTAAAATTAATTGACTGTATATTTGTGGGCAAAATGCGCAGCCATTGCGCACAGCAGTGTCCCACAAACAGTCGTGGATTGAGCCACCAAATTATTTTTTTTGAAGGAATTATTACTCCTAGAGTAATCTGCCGATCGACTAGCAACCAGGTTCCTACATACTGTTAGGGAAACAGAGGCATGTGAAGTAAGGAAACTTGCCCAACATTTAGACAGGAATCAAACCCAGGTCTCTCGCTTGCAAGGCGAGTGCTCTGAGCACTGAGCTACAGGACTCCACATATGAATCCAAGTTGTGTTGTGACATTTATACCTCAAGGCAAAGACTTGAGCTGGATACAATTATAATGTAGTGTTTGGAATCCATAAGATCCCAACCAAGGTGTGGCAGCTGGTTTCATTATACATGTGCACAGCTACTGTGTTTTGCCCACCAAATACACGGTCAATTCAATATATTAATATATTCTGTGAAGCGCTTTGAGACATCTCAAAGACACAACAGGAGCTATATCATATGCAAGGATTATTATTATTATCAGTATCAGATAAAGTAATTTCTTTGATTTTAGAGCTGCCAGCCAGCTGCATGGAAATGACTGGCTACAAACTCCAATCCAACCACCACTTGTGACTGAGTCACACCCATTTGCTGGTCTGTCCTAAGAAAGAGAAAGAGCCCAGCATCATTTTAATATTGGCTTATCAAGATTGTGAGGCGCTAATTGCACTATAGCTGGAGTGGCGCATATCAGGGGTGATTTGCGGCCAGGACCACAAATGATAAAGTGTTTGAGTAAAAGTGTTTGCTGGAGCTGTAGAAAAGATTCCTTTGTGCAGTATAATTTGCAGTACAGGTAGAACTGAATAGTTCTACTACTACTAATAATAATCTTCATTTGATATAATAATAATAATCCTTGCATTTGATATAGAGCCTTATCACGTCTTTGAGACGTCTCAAAGCACTTCACAGTGAATTCACTGTATGTTTTGTGGGTGGAACATGGCAGCCAATTGCAGACAGCAGTATTTTCCAGACAGCATGTGGATTGAATGACCAATTTATTATCATTTGGTCTAATTTCTAAAGGCTAATTTCCTTTTGCAGCAATCCTTATTGACTGAGGAACGTCACCCTCAGGCAATCGAGCTGGTCTGTACCTGGCAGGGTGAGTTCATAACCAATGTTCTATCTATGTTTTGTAAAGGAGCTAAATGTTAACTCTCTTTAAAATATATATTTGAGGTTGTTTCTTACAAGTATCATTTGGTGAGAAAGCTGTTATTTATTTCAGGAAAATGGGGAAATCAATTCTCTTAATCAGCCATTCGCTAACCCCTCCAAGTAACCTGCAGTGAGTGTTGCAGTAGGTAAATTGTTAGTCACTATAGCACATTCTGCCCTGAAAACAGGGTCAGACTGCAGGTATACATTAGTTTTGACCACCTCAGTAACACCATCCATCTGCCCTTGGTCACAAACGTACTGCTCAGTTCATCCTCGATCAGCTCTTTTGTATCGTATTCTGGTCGTCAAAAAAATGCAATTTAATGACTTGAAATTTGTAAATCAGTGCTGACTGAGAGGGAGGACCTGTGCTGCCTCTTCTTACTTGAAACAACCTGACCACAGGATGCTTTGACATTTAACTAGCTTTCAGCCATCAGATCATTTTTAAATAATTGCTTCTCCCCTCTCTCCTTCACTTCCTCCTCAAGTTGTGCTTTTGCTCTATACAAACACAAAGCTCAAACACATCCGATCATTTTGCTAAACTATGGAAAATCTATGAATTGCAACTGCAGGTTTCTCTGGTACTTTTTAACATTCAAGAACCATGACTCAATTCAAGAAATATTTGTTCTTGCTGAATGCAGTTACTTCTGACAGGTTAGAGATGATTTAATAACTGCAAAGAGTTTCCTGTTACCTCAGTGTCTATTCTTTGTGACAGTCACTGCTATCCTCCTTCGGGGTTGGCAAGTGGAGTTCCCTTAGTGTTGAGCTGGCTCCAAGGTGACTTGCTTGGCAATGGAATATTGGAATTGAGTCAACCCTCCGATAGTCTCACTAGTATGGTTCTGAGCCAAGCAGATTTATAGTATTCCAGGGAATTGCTGATGACAGACCAGCCAGACTGGCTCATCGGTAGAACTTGGAGGAGCAAACCAGTTGCTGAGGTTAGGGATTCTTCACACTAAGCTCCTGTTAACTCTGCAAGTCTGCAAGGTTAACAGGAGTCCTGTAGCTCAGTGGTTAGACACTCGCCTCGCAAGCGAGAGACCTGGGTTTGATTCCCAGCAGGGCGAAACCTTGGGCAAGTTTCCTTACTCCACACGCCTGATAATAATCCCTCAAGAAAAAAAACAATAATAAATTGGTCACTTCAATCCACGACTGTTTGTGGGACACTGCTGTGCGCAATTGGCTGCTGCGTTTCGTCCACAAATATACAGTCAGTTCACTGTGAAGCGGTTTGATATATCTAGAAGGCACTGAAAAATGCTATATCAAATGCAAGGATTATTATTAGTATTATTATAAGCCAAAGCCCTAACGGGTAAGGTGGACCTAGCTGGACAAGTAACGGGAAAGCTTCCCAGACAGTAATATCAATGACAAGCTATGTTGTTTTTGCTAGTTAAACTCCAGTCTTATCCCAACGCACATTCTAGGGTTGCCCAAGTCTTCTCTCTTGCCAACTTGCGCCTGATGCTCTCACATTAGGTAAATGGGTTGCATCCCTCCAGGGAGAGAATTTACATTGCGTTCCAGACACAGGGAAATTTCCATGTAAAAGTAGACATACATCTGTGGAATTCTGTCTGGTTTGGATAGTCTTAAGCATAGTGATGGTTTCCACGCGCGTCAGTTGACCAAAACAAAGGACAGTGAGCAAAGGCAGGTTATTTGCAAACAAGTAGCTGATTTTAGTGGACCTTTCCATATGTAAGTCTGTACAGTGAGGATATGTCCTCATCTTCTCTGCAGCCTGGCATTGTTCAAGTAAGTTACATGCCCTCACTGCACCACAATTGTGTTATAATGTACAGTATTTGTGGGACATCTAGCCTTGCATGTTTTGCACCTTGATCATAATGTTGATAAATAATTGTGTGTTTTTTTTAAACCAGGTGTTAGTGAACAGCGAATTCTGAATGATCCAGTTCAGCTCAAGGACTGGGATTTAGACTCAGAGGAAGCAGAGTTTTCAACAAAACCGCCCCCTTACATCCGATTCGCTTAAATTCGACTTATATTGGCGACAAATTGGTTGGCTATTCATACCAGGATTCAAAGAAAATGTTACCTCTGTCAGACCTTGATGATGTGAAGTTTGTTTTTAAAAATAGTGCCTTCAGCTGGGGTGGGGGAAGGTTCTTGTGGCCTTTCGGATCTACAATAACTCAAGCAGTTGTTCTTTTGTACTCTTATTTCACAGTGCATAAGGTGCTTAAAACTCGAGTGCCATGCAGTTAATGGTGAGGGCCCAGTAATTAAGAGATTTAAAGCTATTGGGGTGAAAGATATTGTGTGTTAGATATGTAAACATTTTAAAGAGTGAACATGCTGCTTGAAGCTGCACTGTGAGTCAGTTTTAATTTTTTTAAAAAGAGTGGGCAGCCTTAAATAAGTGAACTTACAAAAATTGTACCTTTTGTTATCCACTCTAACTTCCTTTATTCTGCCAATAGCAGAAAGGGGGCTGGAGTTGAACAAAAAACTCAAAATGAAACAAAACCATTTGGAACTTGTAGAACAGATTTGGGATGGGTTGTATTTTATGGGTAGCTTATTTTAAATGTTCCACTTCAGTCTGAAGAGTATGTCTTCATATTCTTTATGCTGCGTAAAGAGAGATTTCTGTATTATAGTTTGTTATAGTTTATTTTTGATGTATAAGATGCAAGTTTGAACTGTGAAGGAAAAAANTTATTCTTATTAATGGGCTGTGTCACTTGAGGGTTTATGTAGTTTCTGGAGTCCTGTAGTTCAGTAGTTAGAGCACACGCCTCGCAAACTGGAGGACCTGGGTTAGATTCTGGATAGGGTGAAACACTGGCCGAGTTTCCTTACTCCACACGCTTCTGTTCACCTAGCTGTAAATAGAAACCCAGTTGTTTATCGATTGTCCGATCACTTTTCCAGGGGTAATAATCCCTTCCAATAAATAAATAAACAATAGTAATTTAGTTACTCAATCCATGACTGTTTGTGGGACGCTGCTGTGCACAATTGGCTGCTGCTTTTCGCCCACAAAATATGCAGTCCATTCACCTTACAGGGACGTCCTCCTGACGTGAAAGGCGCTTTATAAATGGAATCTTGTTGTTGTTGTTGTATATTCTGAGAAGTGCTTTGAGAGTCTTGAAGACGTGATAAGGTGCTATATCAAATGCAAAGATTATTATCATTATTTTGTGGAGTGCTGCAGCTTTGTAGTGACATTATGTACTTGTCTTCACCAGCTAGCAGAGGCTGAAGCTAATGTTCCTCTACAACCATTCAATGGGATTCTTCACAATAGTGGCCTGGAGTGACTGTCTTTCTCTCTCCCTTTCACTTCTCTCTCTCATTCCTTCTTTCTTGTGCCTCCTCCATACACTGGTGAACACACATCTGGGGTACTCATCTACTGTGATATGAATAATTAGCATACACTCCGCGGCCCTTTTGGTTGAGCAGGTAAAGGGGAATAAAGACAAGATCTGAAAAGATTCATCAAACATGATTCACACGGTTTACTGTGAAGCGGAGTGACAATGTTTTTGTAGGTGAACTCAGCAGCCTCATCTCAACGTTCACCTGACCAGGCAGATGGGACCTCGTTTTAACGTCTCATCTGAAGAACGTCATCTCTAACAATGCAGTCCTGCTCCAGCATATTATTGGAGTGTACGCCTGCACTCTCAGTTTAAATTCCCGACATTGGGGTGAACAAATACATTTCTGACTCCGAGGTGAGAGTGACCAATTGATCCAGACTGACACATTTATCATCTACCCCACATCCGTGCCATGACCCGCTCTGCCTTCCTCCATCACCGCAACAATGCCCGGCTCTGCCGCTGGCCGCTGAGACCCTCGTGCACGCATTCATAACATCCAGGCTGGCCTGCAAACTCCCTGCTTGTCGGCCTTCCCAACTACTCCCTCCATAGGCTGCAGATCATCCAGAATTCTACAGTGCATGTTTTCTCCCACACCAGATTCCGTGACCCTATCACCGCTACCCTTATCCGACTTCATTGGCTTCCCATCACACAGAGGATACAGTTCAAGATCCTGGTTCTCACCTTCAAAGCCCTCCATGGCTTTGCTCACCACTACCAACCTGCCTGCACCCTCCGCTCAACGGGCTGCGGCCTGTTTCACATCCCCCTCCTCGCCTGCCCCACCACACAACAACAACAACAACAACGAGACTCCATTTATAGAGCGCCTTTCACGTCGGGAGGATGTCCCAAAGCACTGGAGAGTTGGGTCAGGACCTGAGCAGGGGATAAATGGTCAGGGTGAGGGGAGGGAAGGGAGGGTGAGGGGAGGGTGTAGGGAAGGGGGTTGTGGAGCAGACCGGAGCCAGAGGAACGGAGGATACGGGCAGGTAAATAGGGGATAGTAGGTCGGAGAGGTAGGAGGGAGCAAGGCCGTGAATGGCCTTGTAGGCGAGGATGAGTATCTTGAATTCGATCCTCTGGGGGATGGGGAGCCAGTGGAGGCGAGCGAGGGTGGGAGTGATGTGGCCACGAAGCCTGGTGCGGGACAGTACACGAGTTCTGAATGACCTGCAGCTTGTGGAGGGAGGTGGCGGGAAGGCCGGCGAGGAGAGAGTTCCCATAGTCCAGCCTTGAGGTGATAAAGGCGTGGACCAGAGTTTCAGCAGCGTGAGGGGTGAGGTAGTGCCGTAGTCTGGCGATGTTCCGGAGGTGATGGAAGGCGGTGCCAGTTGTGGCGCGGATATGAGGGAGAAAGGACAGCTCAGGGTCGAACAAAACCCCGAGGTTCCTAATGGCTTTGAGAGGTGGAGAGTGCAGCCTTGGATGCTGATGCTGTCAGCGCCTGAGGTGCGGAGGCGCTGACGTGAGCCAATCAGGAGGGCCTCAGTTTTGCGCACGTTGAGCTGAAGAAAGTTGTCTCTCGTCCAGGACTCGATGTCGGACAGGCAGGCTGTCAGGACATCGGTGGTCGTGGAGTTGAGGGTAGAGGAGGAAAGGTAGAGTTGGGTGTCATCCGCATACATGTGGAAGTTAACCCCATGTCTGCGGATGATGTCACCAAGGGGGAGCATATAGAGGGTGAAGAGGAGGGGACCGAGGACAGAGACCTGAGGGACACCGCATGAGACAGTGCTGGGGGTGGAGGAAAAGCCATTTGTGGAAACAAAATGAAGACGGTGGGAGAGGTACGACCTAAACCATTCAAGGACAGGGCCTTGAAGGTTGAGGTGGGAGGACAAGCGGTGGAGGAGGATAGCGTGGTCGACCGTATCGAATGCTGCCGATAGGTCGAGGAGGACGAGGAGGCAGAGGGAGCCCTGGTCACAGATGGTCAGGATGTCATTGGTGACCTTGACCAGGGCAGTTTCTGTGCTATGGGCAGCACGGAAACCCGACTGAAGGGGTTCGAATAATGAATGGGTGGAGAGGAAAGAGCGCAGCTGGGAGGCGACAACTCTTTCAAGGACCTTGGACAGGAAGGGGAGGTTGGAGATGGGCCGGTAGCTTGATAGCTGCGACGCATCAAGGGAGGGATTTTTCAAAGTGGGAGTGATGATGGCAGTTTTTAGGGGAATGGGAACAGAGCCAGAGGAGAGGAACATGTTGATGATGTCTGTGATATGTGGGGCAAGGAGGTGGAGCTGAGAGATGGAGTGGGGATGGGGTCAAGGGAGCAGGTGGTGGGTTTCAGGGACAGGATGAGTTTGGTGACAGAGGATGGGGAAACGGGTACGAAGGTGTGCAGGGGAGGATGAGTAGGAGTCGGAGTGTGGGGGGTGGGTGGGAGTTGGAGGGGGAGTGACCGCGGAGCGGATTCCCTTGATTTTGGATTCAGCCACTCTGCCCCACCCTCTGGATCTCCATCTCACAGTCCCTCTGCCTCGTCCCATCCCTTGCCTCCTTCAAGACCTGTCTCAAGACTCTCCTCTTTGACCGTGCCTTCGATCACCCTCCTTCACCCCCTGCCGTCCATCCTCTCCAATCCCGATCCCAGTTTGGTATGAAACACTGATTCTCCAGCGCTTTGGGACGTCCTCCCGGCACGAAAGGTGCTATACAAATGTAATTTTGTCATTGTTGTTGTTCGGCAATGAAAATGAACAGATATGTGCGTCGTCAGCAGGTATTTAAACAATTTTATAAAAGTTCCTTTTTATTCTACAAATGCTTAGCTTGAATTTAATGATTAGAAACACAATTGGGTCTAAATTCTGTTCAATTCTCTATTAACAAAATAATTTGAAGTTAACAGAAATGTTGAGGGGGAAATAAAAGATGTTTTATATAAAAATACATAATAACTTCTAAAGTTTTTTGACACAAACATCTCCACATTAATACAATAAAGCCTTTAATTGTTCCTCATTAACAAGTCGGGTTCAGAGCAATGTTGTTTTCCTATTTAAATTCTGTCTTTTCCAGTGTTGATGTACAACTAGTTGGTAACAAGCTACAAGGCACTGTCAAAGTGGATTGTGCAGCAGGTAGAATGGGGAACCTGCTCCTTTGAGTGATACATTCATTCATTTCAACTTTCATACACACATATCTATCTCTTGGAGTGTCTGTGTATCGAGAAGCAGCTTGTCTTAGAAATTTCTCTCAACTAAGCACACAAGGGACTCTTTCCTCCCATACTCTTTTGACACGACGCACCTGTTCAACATAGTTGAAGCAATGAAATCCTATTTATAGATGTGATGACCTCTCTGTTGGAGGCAATAGAACGAATAGTTGGCATCTTGGAATCTCCCTCAACACCTCTTCAATGACCAAAATATTGATCATACAGGTTTGCTGTTTTTTGTTCAGTCGGGTGTCTGACACGTGCGGAAACATGTTTAAATGTTTAAGAGTATCACCAAACCAGATAGATATACAGATGCTCAGTCTTGAGAGATGAAGTCTCAGAGGTGATCTCATAGAGGTGTACACATGTTTATATCAGATTAAAATGTAAACCAAGAACATTACTTTAGGATGCATCAAGACAATAAAAAAAGGACAACAGTTTAGAGTAGTAAAGGACAATTTCAGGACAGGTACCAGAATTTTTTTTTGATGCACACAGTATTCAATGACTGGAAGAGGTTGCCAGGAAGCATTCCAGAGAGAGGACACTGAACTCATTTAAAATACTGTTTAAAGCTTTAAAAAGGTGCGTTTACCTTTATGTATACCATCGAATAGTGGGAGACTAGTTTGCTGTATAATGGCTGATCTGACCATTTGTTGTTATCAGGAAAAACAACTTTTGAGTGAAAGGGGCAATTTTTCCCCATTCTTGTTCTGAAATTAGTTTTCATCCTTGACTCTGGCTATTAATGTGAACAAGGCATTGCTCAATTTTGCTAATGAAAGTATTAATTTGGGAATATTATAATCTAATTCCTGATCTCAAGCATGGTTGTCAGTGAAGCCCTTGCTTAACTGTTCCATATCTCTGGAACCCAGCCCCTAAACACATTGGTATTTCTTTTAATAATAATAATAATCCTTGCATTTGATATAGCGCTTTTCACGTCTGGAGGACGTCCCAAAGCGCTTCACAGAACACACTGTAAAGTGAATTGACTGTATATTTGGCGCGGCAGCCAATTGGCACAGCAATGTTCCGCAAACAGTCGTAGATTGAAAATGACCAATTTTTTTTATTATTGTTTTTGGTTTTGGAGGGATTATTATTAGGCTCTGTGTGGAGTAAGGAAACTTGCCCAAGGTTTCGCCCTCTGCCTGGAATTGAACTCAGGCCTCTCGCTTGCAAAGCGAGTGCTCTAACCACTGAGCTACAGGACTCCACATCTTCAGGATCTTGTGATCATCTTCAGGATCCCTGAAGCCTTCTAAGTATGTGGTCCTCTAAATGCCCTCCTCTCAAGTGCTTCAGCTGATGGGATAATTATTTGTCCTTTTTCATCAGTTCAAGTGGTTTCTTCATTATATCAACAACCTCCATCACATTCTTAATAATAATAACCCTTGCATTTGCTGTAGCGCCTTATCACATCAGAAGCTCAAGGCGCTTCACAGGGATTTACTGTGAAATGAAGTGACTGTTTATTTAGGCAAATGCCACAGCAACATAGTGCACAGCAATGTCCCACAAATAGACATGAAACTATTGGCCAATTTTATTTGGTGGATTGTTGGTCAGGCACCGGAAGAAACTTGATGATCCCACTCCATGATAATCTTCTCCATGACTTCTGATGTTAGAGTTGATGTGTTGAAAGAATTGGCGACCTGAATTCATGAAAATTCTGAGTACATACTACACATTCTTTTTCCAAGTGACATTTCTCGCTGTTTAAATTGCACAATTATATATCTGTACTATGCCACAACTAGTTTTAATTCCGGTTGACATCACTATTGATGTCGTCACTATTGGCTTTCAGTGCCAGTAATGCTGAGTTTGATTTCAATTCCACAGGTAATCTGTTAATCTGGAGGGTTGCAAATGTTACTCCCCTGTACAAAAAAGGGCGAGAACGATAAACCCAGGAACTACAGGCCAGTCAGCCTAATGTCAGTAGACACGAGTAGTCCACAAGCCTTTCCCATCCTCCCTCAGCTCCACAAGCTCCCCATTTTAAATTGGATCGTGCACTAACTTTCTTCACGTCCCTCACCCTGTCTGCTCACCATTGGCGGATGGGCTTTCAACATTCTTCCGCTGTTCTCTGCAACTCCATCACAAAGGCTATCTGACGTGTGCCTTCCCTCAACTCGTTCAAGGTCCATCCCAAGTCATACCTCTTTTGGTTATCTTTGTCCTGCTCATACTTCCTTGGCTCCTACCCCACTCAGCTACCCAGGCAGCAGGGTCAGGCACTTTGGGATTTCCTCACAACCTGAAAGGTGTTGCTCAGATGGAAATTAGCATTGTAAGAAGACACAAGACGTGAATCTTCAGTTTTTAATAATACTAACAATCCGTACATTTGGTTTAGCACCTTACACATCAGGAGGACATTGCAAAGTGCTTCACAATTATACTGAAAAGTGTTTTGAAATATACTGACTGTTACCTCGGGATATATTGATAGGAGCAACCAAATGTTCAAGAAGGTTGATAGTTAAATGGTTAAAAGTGCTTTGCTGGATAGGTTGAGGTTAGCTTCTGATTACATTTCATATTTTCCTGGGAAGATGTTCACTCCTCTGAGATAATGAGGAATCAGGTCCTTGAGCATAGATGTAAGAACAGTGGACCACAGAAAGAAAAGGCTACAGCCTCAGACACCTGCCTATCACAAAGGTTGAGAAACAAAGCAGGCTGTGGAAGGCTGCCCAGAAGTTGTCCCTATCTCTCTCTGTACAAAGCAGCCTGTGAAGGGTGGGGGCTATCTCTGTGTCAAGGGGAGATGGAGTTAAAAACATATAAAAGAAAGATATAACTTTGAAATAGTTGGAGTTGTGTAGAGGGTCAGCCCACTTCCCAATGGAATCGCTATCGATTCTATTGCATCCATGTATATGTAGGATCTTGAACTGGATCCTCTGAAGGATAGGGAGTCAATGGAGTTGGGCAAGAATAGGGGAGATGGGTTCACAGAGTTTGGTGCTGAAGGCATGAACAAGAGGTTCAGCGGCCTGAGGGGTGAGGTAAAAAAATTAAAATGAGTTCAAAATTAAAAGTGAAAGTGGAGGAGGAGTGGTTAATATGTTTTTGGTTCTGTTTATTAGGCAGAGAGGAAATAACAGTTGTAGTGGTTGGTCCATTTGAAATGCGGAAGTCAGGTTATGCAAGCACGAGTGAAATGCTGGGCTAAGAGCCGATTCTTTCTGTTGAGTTTACAGGAGCCACTCTCTGTGATTCTGTGTGATAGTTCTGTGATCTCTGCTGTGTATGTTTTATATAGGATTGGTTGTGTCCGAGGGTTACCGGGCACCAGTCCCTATTATGTTTTGTGTTACAGAATCAATTGTCCCTGAGGATTTCCAGGAGCTGATCTCTGCCCTGTATGTTGAGGTCCATTCCCTGGCTTATTGTTTTGTCAATTCAAGGCTTTCCCCAAAGTTTTATTACTGCTGACATTTTACCTCATCGTTACATCAGCAACGAGATCTTCCCCACCAGGTTCCAGCCCTTCCTGTTTCTGTAAAGTTCTGGCAATCGCGGAAGCCAAGTTACAGTCCAAGTCCTGCCATGGCTGACGTGGAGAGGGATCGTGATAAAGAGCAAGAGACAACCGATTCCCAAGTGAAGAGGAAACGGGGCCACAAATCATCCCGCGGCCGAGCCCTGCCTTTTCGGGAGCGGAGAGAAGTGGCAGATGCAGAAGCCGCTCAGGCCGGTGCCTCACACACTCTCAGACGGGCTTTTCTGCGACTGAGAAAGTGGATTCGGCGGCGACTGAACCTCAACAGCCCCGAGACACCAGCGGCCACGATCAGTAAGGGCCCCCCGGCACAATAACAAATTGCTGTTTGCAACCTGAAGAATCAGCTTCTGTATTTGAATCTGGGTATAACATTGATAACACATCAGCTTCTGCATCTGCACTGGAGATCAGCAATGACTGTATAATGGAGAGTGGGGAAGACTGTTACGAGCCAATATTAAGAGACTTCCTATTGGTCTCGGATCAGGAAACGCGCTGTGGTATCAGGACATTTAGCAGAAAAAAGTTCTTGCCAAAAGCCTTTATTGCCCACAGACAGTGTAGGAGCCTCTCAACCTATTCGGGTGCAGACAGATAGCTGCTAATCTGCGTGAGGGACTGTCTCCGTGATCTGAAGGGTGACATGACTTTTCTTGTGCAACAACTGGTGGGCGACCCAGAGCCGCCTCCCACTCTGTGCACTGACAGCCTGTGTGAACACAACACACAACTCATCAGTACATTACAGACCTGCTGCGGTGAACAGGACTCACAGGGAAACCTGCTCCAACTGGCAAAAGCTCTCGTACAAAGCAGCAACAACCACTTGGACCCAACAGAGTTCAATTACTTGTTTTACGGAAGTGATATGGCTGCGTTCAAGGATGTGTATAACTGTTTGCTGGAGATGGACAGAGAAGCTTTGGTACAGCTGGAGACTTCGGTGGAAGCGGCTGAAAATCTTGATGTGACTAAAGTGGATTTGGAGACTCTGGCTGAGCTACTCTGTGCTGATCTTTCCTGGAAACCTCTTGGTTACAGGCTCTTAGAACAACCGTCAATCTCCTCCTACATCGCCCTTTTCGACCATATCAAACGGCAAGAAAATTGGTGCAAAAGAGAATTTCTCCACGCTCTTCTCTTGTCAATCAAAACAAAACCAGATCAGGTGGAAACTTTCCACAACTTGAGAGGAGACAAGATTTTCCTGCCCGCAGTCATCAACTCCAAGTGGGCAAAGAAACTAAAATGCCTGAAGTTACTGCTACACAAACATGTATTTAAAGAGGAAATCTCATTGAACAGAGTGATGTGGTGCAGTCCCACTGAGGCAGAGGTGTTTTTAGAGACACTGTCAGTCTTCGGATATCCACATATTGCCCAAGAGTTGGGTAAGTGCATGGGCAGCAGCAATGTTATCAGGTTCAGGGACGAGAAACCACTGAAACAGAAGACAAGTACGAAAACAGACAACAGCTCATATGTCACTGTCTTACCTGCAAATATCTCCTCTGAGAGTCGTCCACCCAAACTGCACTTACACACCAAACACTGGACACCCAACACTGCACGTGTAACTACAGCAACACGTTACTGTCATAGATATTGTAGGAAGCCCTCACTGCCTGACCCGTGGCTGTACCGAATGGCAGGAGCTCTGGCCTCTGAATGGACGGCAGTAGCCAGAGATTTTGGTTTCAGTGAGAGCGACATAGAGAAAACGGCAACTGATCCTTGGTACAACCACCAGCAGCGAATGTTCCACCTCCTGTACAGACTGACACACGAGCAGCAGATGAGCTTCACAGAGCTGTGCTTCCTGCTGCTTTGTAAAGTCAGTGATTATAAATGTCACCGGCAAATACAGTGTATCATAGGAGCAGCACTCAGTGCTGTTGAGCTGCAGGAAGACGTGGACTTATCTAGAAATGAGGGAGAGAACCTGTTCCAGAGGCAACACATAAAGGTGCTGGAACATAAGACGCTTCGAGTGGTTTGTGGCCAGTGGAGTGAAGCCCCTGAGATGAGAGAGATCAGCCCGAAGGTGTTTGAAAGCTTCGTGGATCAGGTGTCCCTGGTTGGTCCTGTGTTTGATGTGCACACACAAACCAAAGGGACAAAGGTGATGGTGTTTCTTCCCACGTACACTCCGTGTGAAACTGAGCTGAGCCCCTCAGTTCTTGCAGAGAGTCTATTGACTCTTCTGACCATGAAATACCAAGATGTGGGGAATTGCTTGTGTAAGAAGTTAGAAGCAGTGCTAAGTGCAGAAGAGAAATCAAGACTGTTTAAAGTCCTCCTACAGGAGGATTGTGAAGCTGCTGTGAAGCTGATCTTGTCAAAAGGGCAGAGAGCTCTTCAGCTGCTTTGTGAATACCTCAGGGCATCAGGCAGTGAGATGAGGTCGTGGCCGGCAAAGCTTCGCTCTCTGCTGGAAACATCACCCACCCAGGTCGGACACATCCAAGATGGAAACCTGGAGCTTGTGGTTCCACTCGCTGTGCTGGAAAGACACCTGTTGCTGTTCACAGAGTCCCTCTCTCCGCTAGCGGTCATAGAAAAGCTGCGAAGATTATTTACTCAGACACGTGCTTACTGTTTGTTATACAAACCAGTGGGACGTCAGTACATTGACTGCAGAGTAACACTGAGGGTGTTTTTGATACCCAGGAGTGGCTCACTGGTGCAGGGACTGGATACAAAGCTGAAAGGTTATAAACGAGTGTTTATTTCAAATATCAGTATTAAAGGGAATGTTTGTTATAGACTACTCTTTAAGGACGTTACTTCTGACAATTCACTCCTTAGGGTCACTCCAAGAGATGGCAGTGAGTACAAGGAAGCACTGAGCCTTATGGATCCCATGACTAAGTATCTGATTGCTCTTAATATAAAGGACTGGGTCCAATGGCCTCTGGTGCTGCAGATTACACGAGACAAAAACTCTGTGATATTTGAGGAAACCATTGATGATGAAATATTGCAGTTTGAAAATGCGGAATATTTCATTCTCAACCTTGATGGTAAGAATCATTGTATCATGAGGATTCACCAAGAAATTAGTTACAGAGAATTCAGCCACAAATTAAACACTGTGCTGCCGGAGAGAAAACTCTCTGTCTATTACAAACAAGATGGGATCCCTCTGCTGGTTAATAATGACGAAAGTATCAGCCTAATTGTGCAGCAACAAGAGAAGGGAAACATTATGCTGGAAGGTGAAGACATCATTGATGAGATAATTAAAGCAGAATCCCAAGTAGTGCAATCGGCCAGTTTACCTTCTTTAAATGAACCACTCAGCTGCCGGAGGCCATCTCCCACTGAACAGCATTTTGTGGTTCGACACAGGACAGCTTTAATTAAGAGGATCTCAGACATCAAAAGTCTTCTGGATGATCTGAGACATGAAAGTATTATTAACGATAATGAATACCAGAGAATCAGAGGAGAAAATATTCGCAATGAACAAATCACCTGCATGTTAGATTACACGATTAAGAAAGGGGAAAATGCAATGGATTTGTTTTTTAAAAGTCTTTGCAACAATGACCCATACCTTGTTGATGACTTGAAATGTAGGGAGATGTCTCAGGGGACTCTTGTTGAAATATACTGACTATCACTTCACGATACATTAGTGTATTGATAGCAGCAACCGAATGTTCCAGAAGAAGTGGAGGTTAAAAGTAGCTTTGCTGGACAGGTTGAGGTTAGCTTCTGATTACATTTCATATTTTCCTGGGAAGATGTTCACTCCTATGAGATAATGAGCAATCGGGACCTTCAGGATAGATGCAAGAAGAATGGACCACAGAAAGAAAAGGCTACAGCCTCAGACACCTGCGTATCTCAAGGCTGAGAAACAAAGCAGGCTGTGGAAAGCTGCCCAGAAGTTGTCCATATCTCTCTCTGTACAAAGCAGCCTGCGAAAGGTGGGGGCTATCTCTGTGACAAGGGAGGTGGAGTTAGAAATACATAAAAGAAAGATGTAACACTGAAATAGTTGGAGTTGTATAGAGGGTCAGCCCACTTCCCAGTGGAATCCCTATCGATTCTACTGCATCTGTGTATATGTACGGGGATGAAGGAATTTATCTCCAGTAAGAAAGTGACTATTAACAACAAGATACAACAACAGCATTTCATTTATGGAGCGCCTTTCACGTCGGGAGGACAACAACAACAAGATTCCATTTATAGAGCGCCTTTCACGTTGGGAGGACATCCCAAGGCGCTGGACAGTTGGGTCAGGACCCGAGCAGGGGGGAAATGGTCAGGGTGAGGGGAGGGAAGGGAGGGAGCGAGGAGGGGGAAATGGTCAGGGTGAGGGGAAGGAAGGGAGGGAGCGAGGAGGGGGTAGAGAGTCGAGAGGGGAGCTGAAGGCACGGTCAAAGAGAAAGGTCGTGAGACCGGCCTTGAAGGAGGAAAGGGAGAAGGCACTGGGGGATGGAGTTCCAGAGCCCAGGGGCTGAGAGGCTGAAAGCCCGGCCACGGATGGTAGGGCGGTTAGGGCGGGGGATGTGCAGCAGACCGGAGCCAGAGGAACGGAGGGTACGGGCAGGTAAGTCGGGGGATAGTAGGTCGGAGAGGTAGGAGGGAGCAAGGCCGTGTATGGCCTTGTAGGTGAGGATGAGGATCTTGAATTCGATTAAAGGTGAAAGAGGAGGAGTAGTGGGTAATATGATTTTAATTCTGTCCGTTGCTTAGTGAAGCTGTATAAGGGATACAGTATAGCTGATTTGTCTGTTCAAACTTTAATAAAACCTATATTTGAAAGTAACATGGTGTCAAGTAAATGTGTCTACACTCTTTACACCCATTGAGTCCCTGCCTGGAAAAGCCACATCGAGATTTTCAGCTGCTTTCCACCGATGCCTCCAGCTGTACCAGAGCTTCTCTGTGTCCATCTCCAGCAAACAGTTATACACGTCCTTGAACGCAGCCAAATCACTTCCGTAAAACATGCAATTGCCCTCTATTACCCAACAGTAACAGTAACAGTGGAGGTTTTGCCAGTTGGAGCAGGTTTCCCTGTGAGTCCTGTTCACCGCAGCAGGTCTGTAATGTACTGATGAGTTGTGTGTTGTGTTCACACAGGCTGTCAGTGCACAGAGTGGGAGGCGGCTCTGGGTCGCCCACCAGCTGTTGCACAAGAAAAGTCATGTCACCCTTCAGATCACGGAGACAGTCCCTCACGCAGATTAGCAGCTGTCTGTCAGCACCCGAATAGGTTGAGAGGCTCATACACTGTCTGTGGGCAATAAAGGCTTTTGGCAAGAACTTTTTTCTGCTAAATGTCCTGATACCACAGCGCGTTTCCTAATCCGAGACCAATAGGAAGTCTCTTAATATTGGCTCGTAACAGTCTTCCTCAATCTTTGTTGTTCAGTCATTGCTGATCTCCGGTGCAGATGCAGAAGCTGATGTGTTGTCAATGTTATACTCAGATCCAGATATAGAAGCTGAAGCTTCAAGTTGCAAACGGTACAGATTTGTTATTGTGCCGGGGGGGCCCTCACTGATCGTGGCCACTGGTGTTTCGGGGCTGTTGAGGTTCAGTCGCCGCCGAATCCACTTTCTCAGTCGCGAAGCAAACCGTCTGAGAGTGTGTGAGGCACCGGCCTGAGCGGCTTCTGCATCTGCCACTTCTCTCCGCTCCCGAAAAGGCAGCGCTCGGCCGCGGGACGATTTGTGGACCCGCTTCCTCTTCATTTGGGAATCGGGTGTCTCCTACTCTTCATCCTGATCCCTCTCCACGTCAAACATTGCTGGACTTGGACTGTAACTTGGCTTCCGCGTTTGGCAGAACTTTAGAGAAACAGGAAGCCTGGGACCTGGTGTGCCAGGAATTCGATGGTACAAAAAACAACACACGTGTATGATCAACACTTTGTCCGTGAAGAGTTGCCGAGGGAGATTCCAAGCTGCCATTCCATTTCCTCCAACAGAGAGATCATCCCATCTGTAAATAGGATTTCATTGCTTTGTGATTCAACTATTTTGAACATTTGCATTGTGTCCAAAGAGTTTGGGGTAAAGAGTCCCGTGTGTGCTTAGTTGGGAGAAATTTCTGGTAAGACAAAGCTGCTGCTCGATACACAGACACTCCAAGAGATAGATATGTGTGTATGAAAGTAGCAATAGTTGAAATGAATGAATGTCTCAACGTTTCAACAACAACAACAACATTGCATTTGTACAGCGCCTTTCATGTCGGGAGGACGTCCCAAGACCTGGACAGTGTACAGCATTGCAGACCCGAGCTGGGGTGGTGGGGGCGGGGTGGTGAAGGGAGGGGAGGGGAAGGGGGGTGACCAATGGCATGGTTGAATAAGGGAGTTTTGAGGTGGGACGTGATGGAGGCTAAGGAGGGGGCGAGGAGGAGTGATTGGGGGATAGAATTCCAGAGGTTGGGGGCAGAGTGGCTGAAGGCTTTCCTGCTAATGGTGGGTCGGGTGGGTGGGGACATGAAGCAGGCCAGAGTCGGCTGAGCGGAGGGAGCGAGCAGGTTGATAGGGGGTTAGGAGGTCGCAGAGGTAGGGTGAGGCACTGCCATGGAGGGCTGTGTAGGTGAAGACCAGGATCCTGAACTGGATCCTCTGAAGGATAGGGAGCCAATGGAGTCGGGCGAGAATGGGGGAGATGGTGTCACGGAGTCTGGTGCAGGAGAGGACATGGGCTGCAGAGTTCTGGATCATCTGCAGCCTGTGGAGGGAGGAGTTGGGAAGGCCGACAAGCAGGGGGTTTGCATAGTTGAGCCTGGAGGTGATGAAGGCATGAACAAGAGTTTCAGCGGCCTGAGGGGTGAGGTATTGGCAGAGTCGGGCGATGTTACGGAGGTGAGGAAAGGCAGAGCAGGTCATGGCTTGGATGTGGGGAAGAAAAGACAATTGAGGGTCGAACAAGACACCGAGGTTCCTGACTGGCTGGTGAGTTGTAGTGAGCAACGATAGAGGTTGATGCTGCCAGAGCCTGAGGTGCAGAGACACTGGCGCGAGCAATCAGGAGGGCCTCAGTCTTGTTCACACTCAACTGTAGGAAACTTGCCCTCATCCAGGACTTGATGTCTGACAGTCAGTCTGTCAGGTTCAACAACAACAACAAGATTCCATTTATAAAGCGCCTTTCACGTCAGGAGGACGTCCCAAGGCGCTGCACAGTTGGGTCAGGACCCGAGCAGGGGGGNAAATGGTCAGGGTGAGGGGAGGGAAGGGAGGGAGCGAGGAGGGGGAAATGGTCAGGGTGAGGGAGGGAAGGGAGGGAGCGAGGAGGGGGAAGAGAGTCGAGAGGGGAGCTGAAGGCACGGTCAAAGAGAAAGGTTTTGAGACCGGCCTTGAAGGAGGAGAGGGAGGAGGCGGCGAAGGCACTGGGGGATGGAGTTCCAGAGCCTCGGGGCTGAGAGGCTGAAGGCCCGACCACCGATGGTAGGGCGGTTGGGGCGGGGGACGTGGAGCAGACCGGAGCCGGAGGAACGGAGGGTACGGGCAGGTAGGTAGGGGGATAGTAGGTCAGAGAGGTAGGAGGGAGCAAGGCCGTGAATGGCCTTGTAGGTGAGGATGAGGATCTTGAAATCAATCCTCTGGGGGATGGGGAGCCAGTGGAGGCGAGCGAGGGTGGGAGTGATGTGGTCCCGAAGCCTGGTGCGGGACAGTACACGAGCTGCAGAGTTCTGAATGACCTGCAGCTTGTGGAGGGAGGTGGCGGGAAGGCCGGCGAGGAGAGAGTTCCCATAGTCCAGCCTTGAGGTGACAAAGGCGTGGACCAGGGTTTCAGCAGCGTGAGGGGTGAGGTAGTGCCGTAGTCTGGCGATGTTCCGGAGGTGATGGAAGGCGGTGCCAGTTGTGGTGCGGATGTGAGGGAGAAAGGACAGCTCAGGGTCGAACAAAACGCCGAGGTTCCTGACTGGCTTTGAGAGGTGGAGAGTGCAGCCTTGGATGCTGATGGTGTCAGCGCCTGAGGTGCGGAGGCGCTGACGTGAGCCAATCAGGAGGGCCTCGGTTTTTCGCACGTTGAGCTGAAGAAAGTTGTCTCTCGTCCAGGACTCGATGTCGGACAGGCAGGCTGTCAGGACATCGGTGGTCGTGGAGTTGAGAGTAGAGGAGGAAAGGTAGAGTTGGGTGTCATCCGCATACATGTGGAAGTTAACCCATGTCTGCGGATGATGTCACCAAGGGGGAGCATATAGAGGGTGAAGAGGAGGGGACCGAGGACAGAGCCCTGAGGGACACCACATGAGACAGTGCGGGGGGTGGAGGAGAAGCCATTCGTGGAGACAAAGTGAAGACGGTGAGAAAGGTACGACCTAAACCACTCAAGGACAGTGCCTTGAAGGTTGAGGTGGGAGGACAAGCGGTGGAGTAGGATAGCGTGGTCGACCGTATCGAATGCTGCCGATAGGTCGAGGAGGACGAGGAGGCAGAGGGAGCCCTGGTCACAGATGGTCAGGATATCATTGGTGACCTTGACCAGGGCAGTTTCTGTGCTATGGGCAGCACGGAAACCTGACTGAAGGGGTTCGAAAAATGAATGGGTGGAAAGGAAAGAGCGCAGTTGGGAGGCGACAACTCTTTCCAGGACCTTGGAGAGAAAGGGGAGGTTGGAGATGGGCCGGTAGCTTGATAGCTGCGACGCATCAAGGGAGGGTTTTTTCAGGGTGGGCGTGATGGTGGCAGTTTTTAAGGGAATGGGGACAGAGCCAGAGGAGAGGGACAGGTTGACGGTGATAT